AGGGACCTATTGATTTTACCATGATGAGTAGTTTTTTATATTTTATTTTTTGTCACTTTTGGGACAGTAAAAATGTTTCAATTTTCTAGTAGGAAAGTAAACCTAATTAGTACTTTGGAATTTTATGGATCAAAAGTCAAAAAATGCTCAGTAATTCTTAAAATCATCAGGAATAATAAAAAAAGGTGCTCTGCTGTACAGTAGGTAAAGTAGGTTACAAGTGGGTCACTATATAATGGATGGTATTAAATTTAAATATCATTGTATAAGAAAAACGATTCTGAGCAAAGACGGTATATCAGTTTAGGTATAAGACATATTATATACTATTATCTATGGTATTAAAAAATATTGACCTATAGGCTATAATAGGTACCTATAATAAATTCCAAATTAATCATATTACAATATCCATTAAGTATTTGTAACGCGTTATACATCAACAACAAACCCTGATACTATCATAGATATAATATAATAGTGTACTTTAGAAGTTTCAAGTTTAATTAAATTTGAATTGTCCGTAAATAGCTCAAAACTAGTAAAAATATTTTGAAAATTGTATCAAGTATAGTAATTGATAAAATAAACATAAATGGTGTAAAATTCAATTATTTACAGTTATTCGTTTACGAATTGAACAAAATGAGAAGATCGCTACATGAGAAATCAACTGAATATCCAATGTTCAAATGCACATACAAATTTAATTTGGCTTTCCAGTAAATATTTTTTCATTGATAAAGATAGACAAAATTATGAGGAATCTTTTACTAATTTTTTAAATCTTAGATTTAAAATGAAAAATTTTTATGAATTTCTCACTCAAAATAATTTGCACATTTTCATGGTTTTTATATATTTTGTCAAAATTCGAACTTATAATTAATGCTTACAAAAAAAATTTTTACATAAAATGTTATGTAATGTTATGTAATGTGTAATGTGTATTCTTAATATTTTTCAACAGAAATTGAAACAATATATTAGGGACCTTGTATTATATTGTTAAGTATTTTGGCCCAAAGAATACAATTTTATTGTCATTCATAGAAAAAAAAACTTAAAATGTACCTATATCCTAGATTTACTTTCCTATCAGAAAAGACGCTGTTAAAAAAAACTAATCACTTTTACTGTCCTAAAAGGTGATGACAGACACAAATAAAAAAACACTTTTAGTTGTAAAACCAATCTCTGCTACGCTCAGAATCTAAAATAATGTATTATTTGAACTATTTTTTTAACAGGAAATAGGAATTAAAAAATACGATTTTACAGCTAAATACTCATGTTAAGGTACCTTTACAATATAAATGTGGTGTGCTTAACCTGGTTTGGTAATAATATTTTATTTTGAGTCATAAATTCATAAGTATTATAAAAAAAAAATAACTCTTAATTATGGTTGTAGCTCTACAGTCTGAATTACCTATACTAAATATAAATATACATATTAAAATATGCACGTAAATTATTAATATAACTTATAACTAGTAAAAAATATATATACCTATATATACTTAGGTAATTTAAGTACTCTCGTCTCAAGATTATTTTTTAGTTATTTTATGATGTCCAAATATCAATTAAAATATGACATAAAAAAACAGAGCTCTTTTATACATTACCTAAACTACCTATGTATTAAAAAAAAACATTCTATTGGTTAGTTTTAATTGAAAATTAAATTTAAAACAGTATGTATACGGGTTACCTATAGCCAGGTAAGTATGATAGCTATTAATTATTTGTTAGAATTTATATTTAAAAATATGTATACGTTGAAATGATTAGAATAGTATATCATTTTTAGTTAGGTAATACAAATTTGCAATAAACAAAAATGGTTATTTTAACATGATTTATAAAAGTGAACTATTTATTTCTGGGTTACATATTCGACATACCCAACGAATAAGGCAGTAACTCAATTTTCCAATTTTTTTTTTTTATTTTCCATAGAGCATCACTGTTTTTGTGGAAGTACGACGAAGACGACAGTAACTCAATTTTATTGTGTAGAACATTGTTCTATGGTAGAACGTATGCAATAAAATAGAGTTACTGCCGTCTTCGTTGTACTTCCACAAAAACAGTGATCCCCTATAGAAAATAAAAATAAAACAATTTGGAAAATTGAGTTACTGCCTTATTCGTTGCGTATATATTTTATGGTTTGGACACCTGGATCTAAAATAATATCTCATTGGTGCTTTACATATTGGATTTAAAGTAATAACGGTTTAGTCTTATCTGCTTCAAGTCCCCCTTACAAATTTCACATATGCTTAATTGGATGTCAGTGCACCATTTGTTTTCTCTCTCTGACTCATCCGCAATATAGCACATTTAGGATTAGCAAAACCGACCCTGTATTGTTACTTGTAATATTAAAATAAATTCGCCTTTAACCAAACTTTTAGTTAAGAACATTACCTATATCAACTTACCTACGTTGGTGTTTTTACGATATTTTAATTTTTATGCATTTTTAAATTCTAATTTGTAATAATTTACACGCTCATAACTTACGTCTTACATACAAATTAAAATATCATAAAATAGTCAACGTAGTGGCACAAGTAATCTTCTTGACTTAAAGTTTAATATAGGTGAATTCACTCTTATACCTACTAAAAGTAACATCATAATATGGATATGATTGTTTCTGTGAACGTAAATTTGGTATGTGGCGCGTGGGTCAGAGAGAGAAAACCAAATATAGTGCGCTGCCATCCTCCTTTTTAAGAGCCTTTGGCACACTAGTGTCTAGTTGTCAACATTTACATCGTTTATTTATGGTTATCGTTGTTTTCCATAGATCGTTGAAGATGTATTTCCAAATCACGTCAACAGAATGGATTCCCGAAATAACATAAGAGGAGTGGACAACGTAGCTCTGGACATGCAATACTCAGAGTACGGTTACATGGAACATTTCTTCGATCAGGTACAAAATAATATAAAGTCTGAAAATATATCTATTGTTGTTTAATGATAAGTATATAATTATATCCCGAGTGCAGCGTTAAAAAAAAATAGTATAATTTAATCGAAATTTGATTAATGATTATGACGTGAGCATTTTTATGGATTGTGTAATAGAAAGTTAATCAAACCCAACACTCATTATTACGATGTGCACCATACCACCTACCTAAATTTATATTATAATATATAATACGTCTTATGAATGTTCCTACTACCTTGACAAAATAATAATATATTTTAAATATGACGATAATAATAAATATAATTGGTATAAATTTATATAAATTAGTAGGTATAAATATATAATAATATGTACTACCATTGACTATACATTTATATTTATTTATAGACAAACTACGTTTATTTTTACGTTTGAAATAATTAAACAAAACTGTTTTTAAATTGACATAATATAAATCTAAAATCATAATACTGGATCAATATTACAGATCGAACAATGTCGGATAAAAATAAGACAAATCAAAGAGCATGTAGTGTTGATGAGGACATTACACGGAAAGTTACTTCTTCTACCCAGGCAAGATGAAAGTATGATACCTACTGTCGTATAATATGCTATCATTGATTATAAATACTATAGATAGCCCACTGCTATAGAAAATATGCTGCGCGTCAGTTGGCGGCGGCCGTTATACAGCGCTGTGGGCACCCGCCTAGTATTGGCGGGGAACGTTGTAAGCGCTAGTGACTGCAGCCTTGCAGGAGTGGGGACCGACGATACGAGGCTCACTTTCGTGTTGATAGACTACCGTGCGTGATCCGCTATCCGGTTGCGTTCCGGTTGCTTCAAATACTTATCGGTACTAAAATGAAGGTGTACTCGCCGCGCCGCTACGTACGCTCTGTGTTATCATTGCCATATTATGTTACTTACAGTAACGGATTTAAGGGGAAAGACCCTATAGATTTTTAATTTTTTGGACTCGCTGGATTAGCATAATATATGAATTTATGAGCGAAAAAAAATAGTTCTTATTTAAAAAAAATATTATGCATGACCCTTTTATGAGTTTAATTTTTTACATAACACTATATAACTAAACACAAAATACAATGTTCATATTTTTATTCTTATTTGTAAATTAAAAGAAAATATGGAGTTTGTTTTCTTGAACCTTGACTTTATGATTTCTTTTCAGAAAATAAATTAATCGATGTTCTAAATGTATTGTTATATTTTATAAACACAATGATATTTTCAAATGTAATTATTTTGGGGAAAATGAATTTAACCTACTGTAGTGGATATTAGAATACTAAAATTAGTTACTTTGATCACAATAATATCATAAAATATGCCTACCTACAATAATATTGTAGGCTGACATACCGTCTTTGCTCAGAATCGTTTTTCGTATACAATGATATTATATCATTGAATTCAAATTTAATAACATCCAGTGACCCACTTGTAACCTACTGTAAAGCAGAGTGACATCCACTTGCCCACCTTTTTTTTGTTGAGTGCTGTAACTAACTCAATCAATAGCTATTTATTTATACGATTATACCTAGGTCTCATCATCTGATCAATATCCAAGGTAGATTTCGACATAAATTGTGTTATTTGTTATTTGAAAAACATTTATATATTTTGTCATCAAACTGTTTAGGTTTAAATCTACTCATATCACTACTCATATTATTTTTAACTTCATTCGGTCGAAGGAAATTAAATACATTTATATACGATTTGATTTAAAATACCAGCTATGTTTTGTTTGCGGGGCCAGGTCAAACTCAAGTCCCGACCGCCACCGGTTACTCACATTTCTATATATAGTGTTCCTAAACGTTAATATTATACAAATAGTATACTGTTTTATCGTATAAAAGGTCTTGGAAAATCCTTTCTACGGTACACGATCAAAAATACTGTCTACTGATAATATTTTCGAGATTTATTTTTCATTTGATTCATAGGAATTATTGAGTACAGAGCTCTATAGCTCTACTAGAGTTCTAGCTGTCTGTTTTTTTTTAAAATGTCTGGTGATAAATGTATGTTTTTTAACTGTAATTTGTCGAGGAGAACCTCTAAGAATAGTTTTTATTCTTTCCCTACTAATGAAGAATTGGCTAAAAAATGGATTTTAAATTCAGGTAAATTATTTAAAAATAAATATTACCATATGATATTACTGAGGGTTACTGTATTACTTATTTTTATTTTATCAAACATAGGAAATATGAAGCTAGTGTCACTCAGCCCTAAACGGTTGAAAAAAAGGTACATTTGTGCTAATCATTTTGATACTAAAATGTACAACGAACCGGTTGGTACAATTCGTCGCACATTAAAAAAAAATGCTGTTCCGATGGAATATTCTCTGGGTAAAATTTGTTATATATAAACTAATTTGAAAGGCTTTTTCTGAAAAGAATCCATGAAAAAATATAAATTTATTTCAAAGATTTTCTTCTCTATGTTATAAATTATAATATTTAAGAGGACGTCACACCCGTATGTGTTGTCAGTTTGTTACGTCTTGTCTCGGTTTTACACACCTATACGAGTTACCTACTATTAGACAAAACACTTTGACCAGTCTGTGTATAACTCACTCAATGTTGGTTCTAGAGTAAAAATATCTATTATAAAATTGAATTGTGATAATATTTCTGAGGGCAAGTCAGCGTTTTCTTCATTATTCCTAATATAACGTTCATTAATCATTATATCGTTTAGAAATAGCGAAAATTACAACATTTTTAAATTACCTTTAACTTTTCAACATTTAATGTTTTTTTTTTAAACTTACCATCTTGGCCTTCAAAATGTTGTTATCTTTTAATTTTGTAATAGGTATTTTCATTTTAACATCAAAATTGAGTGAGTTCTACTCAGATTACGTAAACTCGTTTTGTGTACGTCGTTATGTGGGTATAGCGTCCTCATAAGCTTATCGGTAATTAATAATTATTGCCTTAATTGATATGTAGATATTTGTTTGGACCATTAGATACAGCCTTATATTATAGTTAAATTGTATACATAATGTTTCATTATTAAAAAAATTTAGTTAAGTATTCATTCTTTAAGATTTTACAGCAACGCATAAGACGGTGCCTTTAAATGGACCTTCTAGTAAATTATCCAATAAGAGATCGCCAAGGTTCCTAGTGGAAAATATAATTCCAGGTTAGACTACAACAAAATATAAAAAAATAATATTGTTAAAATTGTTAAAATTGTAATTTTAAATCGTCTGGAATACAGAAGAAAGTGTAAATAAGGACAACACATTATATCCTGCAGATACAGTTACTGAAAAAGGGCAGTTCCAATTTAAAGAAACCTTCGTAGCTACAGGTAGGTACATAATGTTGACACAATTAAAAAATGTTGGGTTTTTGTATAGATGTTCAATTGTTCATAGTTTCATACTTATAATTAAATAAAATTATAATATACTTGTATCGTCTTAACCACATAAAACCACGTAAATTGTCCACGAAAAATATTTTTAAACTATAACTAAATAGGTAACTAAAATCGTTATTCTAGGGTTTAATATGTAATTTTGTCCAAATTTGAATTGTGCAAATGTATTTTTAATATTTTCAAACAGTATTGTAACAATATATCAGGAGCATTGTATTAAACAATTGAAATTTGAAAGTGTCCGTTAACAGCTCAAAATGAGTCAAAAAATTTTAATTTTATGGTGTTTAGAAAATGAGAATCCAGTGAAATACTTATAAAATAAATTATGACTGTATTTTTAATATTTTTCAACTACTACTGTAACAACGTATTAGGATCCTCGTATTAAATTGTCAAGCTTTTTTAACCAACAAATTAAATTTTGTTGATATTCATAGAAAAAAAAAATATTTGAAAATTGGAAACTGAAAATGTCCGTAAACAGTTGAAAAAAAAATCCAATATTTTGAAAATTGTATCATGTATAGAAAATAATAATATAAACAAAAAGTGAAAATGGTTTATATCTACATTCTGCAATAATTTGTTTTAGAGTTACGCCAAAAACCAAAATCGATTTTGTCAAGCATTTGACTACTTCAATTATATAGTATAATATATAGACTAGTATAGGAATAGTTATATAGACTGTATAGTGAATGTTTATAGTTGATAATAAGTAATAACTTTTTGCTAATAACTAATAACAAGTAATGACTCTGAAACAGCTCTAATATCTAATAAATAATAATTTGCTAAAAAAAAAAATAATAATAATTCGGTGAAAAAAAATACAATGGGGGGGCTATAACCCCTAAACTCCCCACCTTGAGCACGCAACTGTCTTTGGTTTTGTTTAGTAAATAACAGCTAGCTGTGTACTATAACCCATATCTCACATTGAAAATTGTAGGTAGCGAGGGGTATGGAAGGAATTCATGATTTTTCTAAATTAAATATTACAGTAAACAAAAAATAATTGTTTTTTAGATAATTTGACATTAGCAGAATCGCTTGAAGTCTTAACACCGAAACGTAAATATGATAGGCGTCAGAGATCAATTAGCCCCGCTGCCAAGCAGCTTTTGTTCGATGAAAGTCCAAGTTTATCTATTACACCAACTACGAAATCTTTTGTATCATCATTGATTTCATTTCCTACTCCCACAAAAAAATCACCGAAAAAAAAATTGTTCACGGAATCTGTTCTTAAACAAAAGTTATTTAGTCTACGAAGGATGTTAAAAAGAAAACGAGCTATAATAAGCGCTTTGAAAAAAAAAAATGAAAAAACTCAAAATTTGTCAAAAAATGTTGTGCGAATTTTTTTAACAAAACAAAATTTCCATCAAAAAATTCCAAAGCCCTTACAATGATGCAAGTTCTACATAAAAAACGAAAACCATGGTCTCCCCAAGAAAAAAAAATTGCTTTGTCACTTTATTATAAATCACCATCCACTTACAATTATATGCGTAAAAGTGGCATTATACTACCGGGGAAAAGCACTGTAAAGCGTTGGTTGAACTCAATTCATTTTTCCACTGGTTTTCCATCTATGTACATGGAACAAATTAAACTTAAAACCTCAGACTTTACGTACGAAGAAAAAAAGTGCGTTATTTTATTAGACGAAGTTTCTATTATGAAATCTATTGAGTACAATAAAATATTAGATGAAATCGAAGGTTTTGAAGATTTAGGGCCTCTGGGTCGAACGCCTACATTTGGAACACATGCTTTAGTGATAATGCTACGCGGACTATATAAAAAATGGAAATTTCCATTTTGTTATTTTTTTACGGGTAACGGAGTAAAAGGTGATGATTTAGTGATAATTATAAAGAAATGTGTGGAAAAAGTTATGACTAGACTCAATCTAATACCGACCACTATTGTTTGTGACCAAGGTACTCAAAACCAACGAATGTTTAAATTACTCGGTGGAACAGAAGATAGGCCATTTACCATAATAAATGAAAAAAAAATATTTTTAATTTATGACATGCCACATTTAGTAAAAAGTATAAGAAATAATCTGTTGTCCGGTAATTTTGAAATTAACAATAACATTGTATCATTCAAAGACATTCGAAAAACTTACGAGACAGACATAAAAAATACTGCTCGGGCTATGACCAAAATAACGCCAGCGCACCTTGCTCCAAATGCGTTCCAGAAAATGACATGTAAACTAGCGATTCAGCTTTTTAGTAACTCTGTATCGGCTGCTATTAAAACGTGTGTCTCGACTGGTGAACTGATATCTGACACGGCAATAAATACGTCCAACTTCATAAGCGTTATAAATGATATGTTCGACGCAGCAAATAGTAAAAATCTCTACGATCGTAATATTAATAAAAGGCCAATAAGTGATAATAACACACATGTACTCCAAAATTTAGAGAAAGCTCGATTGATGTTTAAAAACGCAAAAAAAATTAATTTAAAAACAAATAAAACCAGTGTTCCTCCTTGTTTCACCGGGATAATTTGGTCAACAACCGCCATAATGAATCTATTTCAAAGTGAAAAAGAAGATATTGAGCCAATTTCAGCCTACAGGAAAAGATTACTTTTTAATGACAAACCGTCTCACACAAGATGCGTTGGAAAATTTTTTTTCATTAATGAGACAAAAAAATGGATATAACAGGAATCCCACAGCGAGAACTTTCCGTTGTTGTTTTGGTCATATATGCACTTACAGTTTAATGCAATGTTCAACGTGTTGCAGCAACTGTGAGGATGATGACGACAATTACTTAACCACAGCTGATGTAGAAAACGTAACTGTAGTACCGGGGCCAGTAGTAGTCGAAGATTTAAATGAAACGCTCGAATCAGTTTCTAGTTTTTCAGAAACTTCTGGTAGCCCTAAAACAACTTTCGAGGCAACACCAATATCGTTGGAGACTTGTAGCATAACATATTTTGCTGGTTACTTGGCAAAAAAATGCATTCAAAAATTCAATTGTGAAATGTGCAAATTAAATTTAATAACAAAAACAAATAAAAATGACGAAAATCAACTTTTATTACATAACAAAACGTATGATTATACAGACCAAGGGTATGGGTTGAAAGCACCAACAAATATATTATTAGATATATCTACTATATGTTTAAATGTTTTTAAAAATAATTTTGATGAAATGAAGTGCAACAAAAAATTATTAGCGCAATTAATTTCTAAAGCAGAAACTAAAATAGAGGACAAATATTCAATTTTACAATCTAATTCATGCAAAGAACACTTTCAATATATTATTGAACTTCTTTTAAGAACTAAATTATACAAAGAATGCAAGTGGCTAAATGCAAACAGCGGAAAGCGATCAATGCAAAATGCAGATAAACTTCGGGTTTTACAAAATATCTAAGTAATTTATTATACCTATTTATTATATTATCTATTATTACAAAAAAAAAATTTTAAATAGTAATATTTTTTATATCTTAATAGAGTTGAAGATAAACTCAATTGTTATTTGTTTCATTAATTTAAAAATCTTCTTGTAATTTTTATTATGAAAAAAATATATTATTTTTGTTTGAACATTATTAGAAGTTAAATTTTAATAAAACAATAAATTGTAAAATACGCTTAGTTATTGGCTTATAGGTGGTCACAGAGGTAAGTACAATGGTAATTTAAGTCAATGACAGTAAAAAATAAAGTCGGATGAATGTTACATTATTTATTTTGCAGGGTAACGATGTACTATTTCAGTGTACAAATTGCATAATCGTTAAATCGAAAAACATTTTAGTGAACCTAATTAAATATTATTATTATTTTGTGATATTATGAATGTGAATTTAGTTTTGACGTATTTGAAAAGTATTTTAATGTACATAAATGAGTACCTAAGTAATCGAATTAAAGGGAAAAACTTTTTATGTGAGCAAACTGTGAACAGACCGTTCGTATTCTGGCCGCTATCGGCGTCGGATCTGTCATCTGTGAATGCAATAATATTGCAATGCAATCGCTGAACGACTGCGACGGGCGACGGCGTTTGCCGTTTGACGACGACACACGACAACGCACGACAACGCTTGTCCTCGGCGGCGGTCGGCGACGATAATGACGATTAGAAATAATAATTTTATTTTATTACAGGCCAATTCCTTAGCGCTCTCTATCGTTAGTAATTACGGCGCAGCATATTTTCTATAGCAGTGGGCTATCTATAGTATTTATAATCAATGATGCTATGTATTATTATTATTATTATAACGACAACTGCGCCTTCGACAGTAAAAGTTTTATATAGATTATAATATTTTCTTTATTGAATTAATTTGCAGATATGAAACGAGATATAGATATAAAAACGGAAAATGTAAAAAAAATGGGTAAACAAGTCAGCACCACATTGAAAGGTTATAACAATATTATAAATATGATATAATAATAATAACATTTTATTCGATTTGAATGAACAATGCAACTTATACTAATTAGAGGATTGAGTGCAACAACCATAAAATAAATTTACCTTTTTCAAAAAATGGCTTTTTTATAAGATATTATGCTGAAAAAAGAGATTTACGTAGGTATTTTGGTGCAACAGAAACTGTAATTCAGATAAATGTCTGAATATATTCCCCGAAGTTATAATGGTAATGGATTTATATTAAGAAATATTCTATTGGAAATTTAAAATATATTCGTTTCGTAACTTGTATTGTTCATATACATTGATACTTTATAATGCTAGTTTGAATTCTTAATAGGTACTTATAAAAAAAATTTGAAGAAACCAGCTGATAACTCCAGGAATACTATTCATGTTTAAAATTATTTTCAAATTATTTACTGAAATCTAAGATACCAAAACAGGTACCTACAGAGTATCATAAACTGTTATTTTAAGTCTAAAATAGTGATAATTTTAGATTCTGAGCGGAGCGATGAATGTATTGGTTTTACAATGATGTATGTTTTTATATTTTTATATTTTTATTTATATTTTTATATTTTTGTGTCTGTCATCACGTTTTAGGACAGTAAAAGTGCTTCGATTTTCTTCAATAGTACCTTTTCTGATAGGAAAGTGAATCTAGTTGGTACTTTGGGGGGTCAAAAGTAAACATTTTCCAGTAGTTTTCACAAGCGCCGGGAAAAACAACATAAAAATTAAGGAAAAACGGGAATTTTTACGCAAAATCGATTTTCCAAAAAATCGAATTTGGTTATTGGTGTAACTTTAAAACAAATGACCGTAGATACATGAAATTTTCACTGGTTGTTTATATTTGCATTTTCTATACACGATAACATTTTCAAAATATTTTGATTTATTTTGAACTGTTTAGGGACATTTTCATTTTTCATTTTTTTTTAGTTTTTTTTCTAGAAATATCAATAAAATTTTATTTGTTGGTTGCGAAAGCTTGAAAATTTAATAGAAGGCTCCTAATATGTTGTTTCAAAGGCAGATGAAAAATATTAAAAATCCTTAGTCACAATTTTTTTTTATTAGCATTTAAAGTTCAAAAATTGACAAAATATGGAAAAATCACGAAAATTAGCAAATTATTTTGAGTTAAGAATTCGTAAAAATTTTTCTTTTTAAATCTAAGATTTGAAAATGAAAAACAAGATTCCTTATAAGATTATCTACCTTTATCAATAAAAAAATCTCTACCGGACAGTCAAATTAAATTTTTATGAGCGTTTGAAATTCAAATTTTTACAACATTGGATATTCACTCGATTACTCATGTAGCGATTTCTTTATGTTGTTGCAATTCAAAAACGAACAACTGTAGATACATGAAAATTTCACTGAATGTTTAAATTAGCTTTTTCTATACACCATACAATTTTGAAAATATTTTGACTCTTTTTGAGCTGTTTATGGACATTTACAGCTTTCAATTTTTTTTAGTTTTTTTTTCTATAAATATCAATAAAGTTTTATCTGTTGGGCCAAAAAGTGTAAAAATTTAATACAAGGCTCCTGATATATTGTTACAATATCAGTTGAAAAATATTAAAAATACATAGGCACGATTTTTTTTTATAAGCATTTAAAGTTGGAATTTTGACAAAATTTATCAAAATCTCGAAAATTATCAATCGTTGGAATTAAAAAATTATAAAATGTTCAGTTTTTATAACTAAGAGTTGAAAATTTAAAACAAAGATTCTCTTAAATAATGCATACTGTAACCAAAAAATCTAAAAAATATATAAACACACAATTTTTTTACAGACATTTTAATTTCAAATTTAGACAAAATTTCATATTTAAACCAAGAATTACGATTTTAGTTATTTTGTTGTGATTGAATAATACTATTCGTGGGTACTTGAAACTTCTAAAGTGTACTATTATATATCTATGATAGTATCACGGTTTTTGTTGATGTATAACGCGTTATAAGTATCTAATGGATATTGTGATATGATTAATTTGGAATTTATTATAGGTACCTATTATAGGTCAATTTTTTGTTTAATACCATAGATATGTATATAATATGCCTTATACATAGACTGACATACCATCACCGCTCAGAATCGTTTTTCTTATACAATGATATTATATCATTGAATTCAAATTTAATACCATCCATTATACAGTGACCCACTTGTAACCTACTGTACAGCAGAGCGACACCCACTTGCCCACCTTTTTTTTTATCTATATGTTATAAAGTGGACTTATATGGTTGTTAAGCTCAGCCTTTAAATGTCTATATAATATATATATATATATTATAATAGGTATAGGATATGTAAGTATTAAAAATAATAGTATATACATTATATTATAATATTCGGTTTGAACTTTTTTTCACACATAGATAGGTATTGTTATTGGTATTTGGTATACCTATATTATACTTCGCACTTCTATTATATCATCAAACAGTTTCGTGAATATTCCATTGAAATGACACGATAATAATAAACGCTCAATAATTTTTCTTTTTATGCGTATATGTATACATATATATTCATAGAATATAGACGAGGTAATATCCTTAATAAAAAAAAATCATAAATGGTAATCTGTAGGCTGTCCAGAACGGATTCACGGGCATCAAGGTCTCGGACAACATTGGACTTCGGAAATGTCATAAATACTATATATAAATATATAACAACAAAAATTATTCTTTAACACCGCCAAGGCCCTTCAATGGCGTTTCATTAAATGTTATACCTACTGGACGTCTTGTCTTACTATACCTAGTATTATTATTATTATTTTAAGTGACACATAAACATATCACTGCTTCAGTATCACACACTATTGTGTATTTACTATTTAATATATTATAAAAAAGTACTCATACTTATAGCTAGTGGCGTAGACAAGGGGGACGTGAGGGTCAGACCCCCCACCATTGGCTTTTTATTACCTTAGTAAAAAGTTTTGAGAGGGTGATGGATTCCCCCCCCCCCATTTCCCTATGACATATTTTTATTTTTGATCCACCCTTTCAGAAATCATGTCTACGCCACTGCTTATAGCTGTAGGATGACTGATGAGTACAGATAACCAAGTATTAATTCAAATTCTGTATAAGTATAATATAATATATATATTTAATATTATATATCATATAATATATATATAAATGCTTAGTAATACCAAAAGGAGGTGTTAATTGTTTTCTAAAATACAAAACTACTAACTAGATTTCTACATTTATAATTTATAAATAATGTTTGCATAATCATTCTAATAATTTCACCGAAATAAAATTATACCTAATACTAATCGTAAAATTAATTGCTGAATCACTTTGTGCCAGAATTTAGTATTAAACGAAACCATTGTTATAATAAAAAAAAAATCATTATTTAGTGGCGCGACAGGAAATAATATAGTGACAAAGGAAAAACGTAAAATTCTAAATAAAAGTATGCAGTAAAATGTTGTAGTAAATAAAATAAACATGTAGTTATAACGATTCTCCGAAACAATGTCTTGTATGCATTTGACCGGATTAAAATCGTCCTGCACTTGAACACACAAAGAGATTATAATATTCATATTGAATATATTATATCATATTAAGAATGTTACAGATAAAAATCGGATTAAAATTATGTTTGCTTTGTAGAAATCTGTATAAGTAGGTACCTATACTTACCCACGAAACTTGAAGAAACCCGGACGTGTGTAATCGTGCTCGTCGAGGCGTTTAAAATATTTGATGGGGTTTTCTTTTTAGGTCTAGAGAAACAGATCAACCAAGAAGAAGATGAGTCTTCCGGTGACAACGAACAAGTAAGTGCCGCGTTGCGGATACGAAAAACCCAACACGCTACCACGATACACATGTTGGTCGAAGCTCTGGCCGAATTCAACGCCGAGCAGATCATCTACAAAGAAAAATGCGAGGAACGCATGCAGAAAGTCGTGTCCATAGGTTAGTGTTAAACATTTTTGTTTTTTCAAACGGGGCATAATGAATTAATATACGCATAATCCGTCGTCGATCCAATTATATGATATGTTATTGCCATTATATTTTTTGTAGCGAGAGCCGAAATATCCAACGATCAGTTCGACGAGCTAGTCAGCCAGGGAAATTATTCGGCCGTGTTCAATGGCAATGTAAGAGCTATTTTTGATTTTCTCATGTGCATTTGGGCTTACAAAATACAAAATATATGAATTAGTCATATTGTACTCGTGTAATCGTGTGTGTAAATAAATACATTTTATATATTATGAATTAATGATTCCAGATAATTGCCGAAACACTGGAAGCCAGGAGCACGCTGCAAGAAGTCCAAGACAGGCACTTGGAACTGCTGAAACTAGAGAAGAGCATCCAAGAGCTCCGAGACATGTTTGTCGAGATGGCCATGCTGGTCGAAAAGCAAGTATGACGATAATATAAATTATAAATATTAAACACGTATACTTATATAGGTACGACTTACGAGGTACCTCATCTGTTTAGTCAAAGTTCTGTAGCGGTGGCGTAGAAATACATAGGCGCAATTAGAGTAAACAATTTGGGGGGCTTCAGTCCCTCCCATATATTTTTCAATCACTGCCTCTCAGAAACTTTTCACCCTTCACCATCTATAAAAAATGGGTTTTATTAAAGTTATCATCCTTATCAAGTGTGGGCACTCACATAACGACCGAGATCCGAGAATAGAAGCTATAATATAAAAATATATAGTCGGGGCTCGGGGATAATATTTTATCACACTGTGGCGCGCTCATAGATTACATACTAGGTGCTCTCTATAATATTGTGTTACCTACTAAAATAAAATAAAAAAATGTATTTTCTAACTTTTTTTTTCAGTAGTTATCACATATATATATTTTTTTTATTTAGCAATATAATGATATAAAGTTATGCATGGTTTTTTGGGGGGGCTTTGAATGTTTTTGAGGGGAATTAGCCCCTCCAGCCACCTATATGCGCCTATATGCGTATAGGCATATACGTAAATTTTGCTTTAGATTCCGCTATACCCAATAACTTGTACCCATCTCTGGTTATCACACATTCACACGTCATAAAGATACATTTTAGATTCTGAGTGAAACGATGAATGTATTGATTTTACAATGATGTGTGTATTTTTTTATTTTTTTTTGTGTCTGTCATCACGTTTTAGGACAGTAAAACTACTTGGAATTTCTTCAACAGTAGCTTTTCTGATAGGAAAGTGAATCTAGTTGGTACTTCGGGGGGTCAAAAGTAAAAATTTCCCAGTAGTTTTCACAAGCGCCAGGAAAAACAACATAAAAATTAAGGAAAAACGGGAATTTTTACGCAAAATCGGTTTTCCAAAAAATCGATTTTGGTTTTTGGTGTAACTCTAAAACAAATGAACGTATATACATGAAATTTTCACTGGTTGTTTATATTTGCATTTTCTATACATGATAACATTTTAAATAAATTTTTTATTTTTAATAAATATTTTGATTTATTTTGAACTGTTTAGGGACATTTTCCATTTTTTTTTTAGATTTTTTTTTTAAAATATCAATAAAATTGTATTTGTTTTTTAAAAAAGCTTGAAAATTTAATAGAAGGCTCCTAATATATTGTTTCAAAGGCAGATGAAAAATATTTAAAATCCTTAGTCACAATTTTTTTTTATAAGCATTTAAAGTTCAAAAATTAACAAAATATGGAAAAATCACGAAAATTAGCAAATTATTTTGAGTTAAGAATTCGTAAAAATTTTTCTTTTTAAATCTAAGATTTGAAAATGTAATACAAGATTCCTTATAAGATTATCTATCTTTATCAAAAAAAAAATGTCTATAAGAAAGTCAAATTAAATTTTTATGAGCGTTTGAAATTCAAATTTTTACAACATTGGATATTCACTCGATTTCTCATGTAGCGATTTCCTTCTTTTGTTGTAATTCCAAAACTAATAACTGTAGATACATGAAAATTTCACTGAATGTTTATAATTAGCATTTCCTATACACCATACAATTTTGAAAATATTTTGACTCTTTTTGAGCTGTTTACGGACATTTACAGCTTTCAATTTTTTTTAGTTTTTTTTTTCTATAAATATCAATTAAGTTTTTTCTGTTGGGCCAAAAAGTGTAAAAATTTAATACAAGGCTCCTTCTATATTGTTACAATAGCAGTTGAAAAATATTAAAAATACATAGGCACAGTTTTTTTTTATAAGCATTTAAAGATCGAATTTTGACAAAATTTATCAAAATCTCGAAAATTATCAATCATTGTAATTAAATAAATTATAAGATGTTCAGTTTTTATAGCTAAGGATTGCAAATTCAAAACAAAGCTTCTCATAAATATTTCATACTGTAACCAAAAAATCTAAAAAATTTATGAACACAGTTATTTTTTACAGACATTTTAAATTCAAATTTGGACGAAATTACATATTAAAAAACCTAGAATAACTATTTTAGTTATTTTGTTGTGGTTGAATAATATTATTCGTGGGTACTTTAAACTTCTAAAGTGTACTATTATGTATCTATGATAGTATCAGGGTTTGTTGTTGATGTATAACGCGTTATAAGTACCTAATGGATATTGTGATATGATTAATTTGGAATTTATTATAGGTACCTATTATAGGTCAATTTTTTATTTAATATCATAGATATGTATATAATATGTCTTATACATAGACTGACATACCGTCTCCGCTCAGAATCGTTTTTCTTATACAATGATATTATATCGTTGAATTCGAATTTAATATCATCCATTATACAGTGACCCACTTGTACCCTACTGTACAGCAGAGCGACACCCACTTGCCCACCTTTTTATTATTAATTATTGTTATAATTTGTCGACTGATTGGAATACACGATAATAACTATACGTCTATTATACACAATACACCTATCTATAGTATTGTGTAGTATACTAGTATAATTCCACTTTCCAGAACCACGGACGTGGCCAAAACGTATAGGTAACAAAATAATATGTGGTTCTTAAAGCGTAATACTTATAAACGTACTATTGTCTATTATTATATTATCTTCTATACTTATCTGATTTTCAATACCAACAAGTTTCTTGTACACGTGCGTCGCTACTGCGCCGTAATATTATATTCTATTGTGTGCTGTACGGTTTTTGTCGTTACAATTTTGTAAACAAAGTTGAAACAAACACATTGAGGTACATATATTAAATTCTACATTTAATATCTCACATATTATAATTTATAATTAGTAATCACTGTATCAATCACCGTTTTAAAATTTTAATTACCCGTATTTAGTAAGAAAAGCGTCTTAATCACCTATATACAATTATATGTATCTATTTATTGTTCGTCAATCATCACTACTATCTTATTAGTCTATTACTCTTTGTAAATCAATTTTATTATATTATTGAATTATGATTATGAATATTTAATATTATTATTATACATTTATACCTGACGGCTGACTATTAACTATATACCTAAATATAATATTGTTTGATCCATCGCAGTGCTAAAATCGGAAATACGTTATTTAATAGATCCAATAATTATTTCCAAGTGGAAGTGCCCATATCTTGTATAGTTGTATTCATGTCCTCACGAAAGTTTATGAAAATATATAATATTGTATTAATATTTAATATGAAATGGATTTCACTTAGATATAAACAAGAATTTTAGAAATTCATTAAAATCTATTCACGTGTAATTTCCGATTGACTCGTGCATTTCATAAGAATTAATGAAAACATGATAAGTATCAACAAATAAGTAAAACTGATATAACCGCTTGGTGGTGTGAATATCAATTTATTGAATAGGTTATAGGTACCTACTTACATAATTCATTAATATATACAAAACAAGTGGATCCTTCGTATTAATAGATTTACATTTTTTTAATACATAATTATGTATTTTCCACTATATATACGTTCTAGTTTTAATTATAATTATATGTTAAAAAAATAGCAACTTTTATTAGTCTTTATTAATTCTTGAAAATTGGAATTGTAGGTACCTACTATATGCATTTTTTTCGGAGTCCGTTGTATGTTTATACCAAAGTGGATGTTAATTATAACAAAATAAATCTATGAGCTTTATTAATTAATTATGTTAAAATTTATTCAATTCCATATTTATTAGAGCGTGACGAGAATTTTTTTTTTTTTAATTTCACAATACTCGTTATCGTTACTAATTGATCAAACAATTATGTTGTTTTCAAAAATGTTATCAATATTAAACTTTTTACTATTTTTTACAGGGTGACATAATTAATAGTATAGAACAACACGTGTTAAGGGCCGGAGAAGCTGCAGAAAACGCCAAAGTAGAAACCAAAAAAGCGGTCATCTACACTAGTAAAGCAAGAATGGTACGAATGATAATATTATATTGTTTAAGGAAACGAATTTATATGTTGAACAAAATACAAACGAGTGCCTATACTCTATAGGCTATAATATACAATTTGTTTTAAATCCATTTAATTATTTGTTACAGAAAAAAATTACCTTAATGATGATTTGCGCCTGTGTGATGTTATGCGTGGTGGCGTGGTTGTACTCGAGTTTTTTCGGAAACGATGAAACCACCGAAACCTGACATTTCTATAACTTTTTTTTATATGATATATTGTAACTGTTAAGGTAAAATGCTGTGATATTTGTGCAAATATATATATTATTATTTATGTGTATATTATATAAATATGTATGTAGATATATATTGTTACATCAGTACTATTATTGACTAAAATAATTGTTAGGTAAGTTGAATGATATAATGACTATATTATTATTATATATTTTTAATTTCGATGCCTATTGTAATGAATAATAATCGATATTTTCAAAGGAACTGTTGTTATAAAAAGATCAACAAATAAACGTTTATTATAAATTATAATATTACCCATGTAGGTACTCCGTACTCGAAGTCTTGAGAATAATTTTATTATTAGAGTGCGTGGCAAGAATTTCAAGACACACTGACATGTAGTTTTATTATACATAATAATATATTATGATAACCGATAGGCCATAGCTGGCATATGATATGTAGAAATCTGCGTAGTAATAGTAATTGAAATTGATAACCTCTTTACTTCTATAGTTATGCCTTCGCTTCTACACAGTAATACAGACATACAGTGTATATCAAATATAAATGATAAATACACATTATAGTATTATACTATTATAGGCATAATACATATTATATTATAGGTACTACTAAATAGTCTGGACTTATGGTATTCACTATTCAAGCATTCAGCTACCTCCAGTAATACTTCCTACAAAAATCGAATTGAAAATTATTTAAAACGCCGGATAAACACTTCTTCGGTACCTGGTAAACAAATAATAGTATGTATAAGTATTATTGAACCAACTTCTAAAAATAAGTGAACTTATTTTGAATTCAGAATTACATATAATTTCATACAGGATTTAGGAATAAAAATAAAACGTATAAAGGTATTTTAATAATAATATTTTTTTTAACCATAGATGATAATAATCATAAGTCATAACAAAATATAATGACAACATAACTATATTTACCATATTATCATTTTTCATCGTATCTTTTAATTTATTCAATTCTTCTTGATAGTTTGTATAAAATACATCATAACATTTTTTTAATAACACTTTTTGAAATGTTATTTTAGTATTGGTACTTGGTAGCAATAAGATTATTAAACTTGGAGTCATTTATCAAACGTGCACACATCTGAGCGTATATGTGTGTATAATTTTGTCTTTTTAAAGCCTAGATGGATATAACGATAATGCAATAGATAAAATAAAACGCAATGATAATATTATACAAGTTCAATTAGAAGTTAGAACTATAATCAATATTAATTTTATACACAATATACATCCTCGATCAAATATTATATTTGTTATGTCATCGAGTAGTTTAACATTATTTATTGGCAAAGCAATCATTTTTTGTGTCATCTTAACCCAGTTGACATCATTTAAATGGTAAACAATCGATCTTACAGTATTTAACACATGCTAAAATAATACAAATTAAAAAAATTAATGATTAAAATGTATAAATATATAGAGACTAAATAACACTTAATATTGCATGAGCATGAATAATAAATAAAAACTATTCTATCTCTAATTGTGTATATTAATACATTATATGCTTATGTTCATCCAGGCTGAATTTAGTTAAAAATACCAATCTAGAGACACATAGGTATCGTGTCTATATTCCTACCGTTTAATTGTGATGCTGATTATTGTTTTCGTCAGGTTGGAATGTTGGATTAAATATTATGTAATAATGAAAAATTTAACTTATTTATAACATATTATGAAAATTATATATAAAAGAAGCATTAAAATTTTATAAATGTGTAACATTGTGTATAACATTGAATACTTACATCAGAGTTATTTTTTTGTTCCATAATGATTTTTTTTTCAATTTTATGAACTTCAGTCTTCAGTACAAACAAAAAACTTAAAATAAAATAAAGTAAATTATAAGAAAGAAACAGATTTAAATTTAATAATAATAATAAATGAATACAACATTTTATTTAGAAACTGATTGTAATAAAACACAAATAATATGTTAAATCAAAAATTTAATTATTTACCACTTTGTATACGTATTATTATAGTCCTAACTTAATTTTTCATAATGGCTCAGATTTGTATTATTATTATAATAATCATTACAATATTACCATTAAAGAAATAACATTTTTCATACATTATATTACATTGAATTGGAAATCCATATAACTTAATACGAAACTAATAGATACATTTTAAACAGCGTTGAACTGTTGAAGAATAGATATCTGTGTTAAACTATATGAATAATATTGTAACATTTTTTAAAAATAAAATCAAAATTTTGTTTCATTCTTCCTCCATTTTCATTTGATCATACAGTGGTTTTACAACAGTCACCCATTTATGGTACCTCGAAGTTCTAGGTTTTCCATCTGCTTTTAAAATAAATTTAAATGGACTCCACTAGTTTTCAAAATATTGTAATAAGATTCTATATCTGCTATAGTTGTATTTTTTGGTTCCTTCTCACATAATAAAGACCATAATCCTGGTGTAAATTGGTAGAATTTATTAAGCAACAGTAATTTGCCGTGACTAAAAGTAACAGAATGTTTTCCTATTTTATATGAATCACTATCTTTATCATAATACATACCACAAGATTTATCATAACGTGTTGATTTAGGACGGTTATTTAAAAAATTTTCATATGATGAATTTAATTCATCATCATTATCTTCTTCACTAATGCATGGGGTTTCTGATTTATTTTCTAGTTCAGTTGACCGTGTGTTACATACAGTGCCGCATTTAGACATTTTGCGCCCCGGGGGGAAAAAATTGCTCCCCCTAAGGGGCTTACCCACGGAAAATGTGGGAGATAGATCCTCATTAACCCTTTAGATTTTGAGCACAGAAAAGAATATTTGTTTTACAATGTGTGCTTTTTTTAAAATAAATGGTTGGTAATTGCTTGATCCTCTCTCCGCAAAGATACATTTGAATTATGTCACTTAAACCTTGCTTATAATTCATCATTTAAGTTGTTTTTTTTAACATAATATTTAAGTAGGTTATAGGTACTTCATGAATAAATAAGATATAATTATATTAAACTATGCAAATTAATATTAATTAAAACAATTTCAAACAGCATAATACAATATATATAATACCTACTATTAAACTAAATTATATTATATAATACTGTTATTAAAATAATTAAAATTATAAAATTTTAATAATACTCAAGTAAATACATTTTTGACCACAAAATATTGGCGCCCCTAAAATACTGGCACCCGGGGGCAGTTGTACCCAGCGCCCCTCCCTAAATGAGGCCCTGCAACTGTCTAGTGTCTATACTCTAGGAGGTACCTATATTCAGAGGCGGTGTCTAGGACCAAAATTCAGGACAGGCCTGGTTATAAAAATAACTTGTATAGTCAACACATTTTGAGTTTAAGTCGTTTAAGAAAAATTTTATTATACTGTTTAAGTCATAAGTATGACGTGTAATATTTGTTATCTAATAGCCATGTCATAGTTTTTGACACTCAACACTACGGCGGTGATCGCTGACCAAACGACGACGGCCGTCGGGTCGTGTAATATCTATATAGAAATATGGGGTATTTCCAAGAAGCGCTTGAGAATTGACGATAACAATTTTACAATTATTAATTTTATTTATAGACAAATATTTATTTTGTTCACAACAATAAATATGATCGATATATCGTGTGCTTATTATGTATAATTTTAAAATGCATATTTTGGGTATACTTAAAGGTTAAAAATCAGGGTAGGCCCGGGAATACCAGGCCTACCCGCTGGACACGCCACTGCCTATATTGTAATAGCTGGTATATTATTATGATATAAAGTGTTTGTAATCGATTTCTATATTGGAACTGTAAAGTTTTAGTTTTATTTTTAAATCTTAAATAACAGCTAGCTATATCTAGGTACTTACCCCATAATATGTTTTATTTTAAAGTTTTCCTGATGATATTACGGTTTTTTTTTTATTTTTGACAAATCTATAACGATTGATAATAATATAATATGCACGATTATTTACAACATTTTACATAGATACATGTAAGATTTATTTAATGAGAAAATTACCAACGATTTTTATTATAATCGTTTATAAGTTCGTTGATTATTTTATAAATGCCCGCAAGTCAAAATATATATAATACTTAAATAAAATGCATTTTAATATTTCTCATAACTTGACTGTGTTCATTTCAGTTTGTTAATATTTTTAATTTAAATTATAATTGTATTTTATATTTGAAGCGCCTTTATTATATTTACTCATGACTTATAAATAATTTATAATATATCTACATATATTTTGGATACAGTTTTAATAATTCAACGACGGTAATTATTTGCAGGTACCATTGTACCAACACAATAAGTAGATAGATAGTTATAAATTCGGCGAGCGTCGATGTAGTTCATTTAAGTGTTCAGCTCTCGAGTTCTATAAATCATCTTTGTTACATATTTTACCGTCATATAGGGATATAATATGTATAATATATTATTATTTTTTAATTAACAATATTAATAATATTTTTTTTTATAAAATAATATAAAGAGACGTGTTATGTACCAAATAATCGTATTAGATATATTATACTGCAATAATATTTTCAAGTAAAATCAAAACTCTAATCCGTAGCCGATAAGTATTATACGAGAGTAAAAGTATACCTATTATTCGTATTTATTATACATAGTGGGCTGGAGATATAGGTGCAATTTCAGTTTTTGACTGAAACATATTTAAATGAAACCGACCGCGATCCATGGAGCGGAAAACGGGGCTTTTGTATTACTTATTTAACAAATAAAACACTATAGGTAGTAGAATAGTGTGAAAATAATACCTATGACAAATAAACGCAAACCTGATAAGGATACATTAGACCGACTTGCGACTTTCGAAGAGTTGAGGGAGAAAATGACCATAGTAAATAATATATATATAACAAATCAATATGTTAGTAGGTATATAATCGTGGTTTATTATAATAGAATAGAATAATATTAGTACATTTTCAATAACATATGCAAAAAAAAATGTATAACACAAGTTTGCAACTTCCCTTTAAGCATAAGCTTTCTGGAAAAGGCGACAGCGCAATGGCCCCTTGAGGCACACGTAACTGAGCGGCAACACAAAACGGAAACAGCTAGTTAATACTTAATTATTCGACTAACTCAAATAAAGATATAGAGTTAGACGAATATTATATCAAAAACAACGAACGGGTTGATCGGCGACTGACTTCCGGTAGCACAGCCGCGACCACTATGGTAATTTAGCTCATTCCATGTCCACAAAAGTACGGCAGCAACAAAGTCTGCGAGCCGCGTTTACCAGACCCTTCCAGATGAACCGTCTTGATCTTGTAAACGCGGACTTGCGACGTTCAGACCTGGCCGGTTTCTGGGGCATTTCAGCTGGTTCCGGTTGGACGGTATTCACTCCGTCGTTCAACACGGGTGCCTGCAGACTTCCCAGCTCTGAGTACACGGGCGATTCAAGTTTGAGCTCGGGTGAGGACCGGAAACCATCACCATGACTTCGCCGCAACGGAAGACCGACGCCCGTGATCCTGCGGTCAACTGCGAGATTGAGCGTGTCGACAACGCACCGACTCTCGCTGCAGGTGGACTGGGATTTTCGGTGTTCAGACCGTGCCAGGATTTCCACTGGTGCCGTAGAGACGGTATTCTGAACTGCGCCGTAGACAGATGACTGCGTTTCCAGACTGACGGCTTTCGTATCTGCAGTCACGGGAAAATCCGGAAAACCCGTCGACGTCGATGCGGCGGCAACCACCACAGTATTCACTCCATCTTTCAACACGGGTGACTGCAGACTTCTCAGGTTTGAGTACATGGGCGAGTCAAGTGTGAGCTCGGGTGAGGACCGGAAACTATCATCTTGACTTCGCCGCAACGGAAGACCGACGCCCGTGATCCTGCGGTCAACTGCGAGATTGAGCGTGTCGACAACGCACCGACTCTCGCTGCAGGTGGACTGGGATTTTCGGTGTTCAGACCGTGCCAGGATTTCCACTGGTTCCGTAGGGACGGTATTCTGAACTCCGTCGTGGACAGATGACTGCGTTTCCAGACTGTCGGCTTTGGTCTCGGCAGTCACGGGAAAATCCGGAAAACCCGTCGACGTCGATGCGGCGGCAACCACCACGGTATTCACTCCATTTTTCAACACGGGTGACTGTAGACTTCTCAGGTCTGGGCGCGAGTACACTGGTGAGTCAATATTGAGCTCGGGTGAGGATCGGAAACTCTCACCAAAATGTCTGTGCCTCAATTGGAAACAAACAGCCTTGATCCGCCTATCGACTGCCAGATCGAGTGTGTCGAAAACACATCGATGACCCTCGCTGGCACATTGATGGCATGTTGAAACTTCCAAGTGGGCTTCCATCTCTTTAAGGTTTTGCAACAGACGAACGTCGTAAGTACAGAAAATTACGAACTTTGCTGTGGAGCTAAACACTTAATAATGGATATTTTCATATAATGACTTGTTTACAAAAATAAATAAACGATATTAGGTAGTGTTATTTTTATAGCTTCTATTGTGGCCAGTAGGTATAGTTAGCTTGTATAGCCAGCTAGTAATAATATGTAGCAGATAGGTACAATTGAATCGTAATTTAACAAATAGTTTTGTTGAATAAAAACCTACGCGAGCAAAACGATACCTATACCGGTCTTAGCGCTATTGGAATCATATCACATGGTTTAGATGAATGAAGTATATAGATTTCAATTCAACAAACTTGTTTTACACAATAATTATAATGATTATTTCTTACATATTTTAGAAGCGTGTTTAAGAGATATTTTATTACAATATTGTTAGTCTTAAGTACGCGCCTATCAAATCACGTTGACGTGAAGTGCTCATTTTTAGTCGAAATATATCTTGCAAGTTTAAACTGATTTTTAAATGTATAATTATTAATAATTGTTAGTTATTAGTGAGTGGATAATTAATTTACATCGTTTATGGAATATTTTTTTAATAATTAACGTGTCCAAATAAGAGACCATCAAAATGCATTCGATCACAGTTGAACTTTTAAAAACTGGATAACCACCAAACTCCATTGACTTAATCTTCACGTACTCTATAAGAAGCAGTTATTATTTATTGTCATGTAATAATATAAATAGGTAAGTACATAATATATACTTTTAAACGAAAATAAAAATAATAAATAAATGTATTTAGTAATAAGTGGAATAAATGATATATAATATTATATTCCCATAAAATCAGGGGCGCATTAAGGGTTCACATATGGGGGGCAATTATTTGCACCCTGGTGTATTTTATGAATAGTAATGAAAATATAAAAAACTAAAAAAATTGCTCGCTGCGAGCTGCGCATCGAAAAATTAAGTGAATACCCTTACATTTCATACAGTTATTATACCTACATAGATATCTTATTCAATTAATTACTAAATATCTATTATAGGAACTTGGAATAATAATCCATTCTTTTAAAATAGTACTGGTAATTGGAATATTTATTATGTAAAATGTTTATATTTCATTAACTAATAAATACCTCCTAGTAAGCAACTCCTATATTTTAAGTTATTTATGGAGTACCTATGTATTAAGCATTGACTTATAATAATAAATATATCTTTATTCTTTATTAACAATAAAATATTATTACATATTATAAAACTAAATGACAAATATGGAACAATACTAATTAAAATATTTTCTTATTTTTTTGTTCACAAACTCTTTTATAATACTTGACCAATCAATACTTCTTCATCTCATTTTCTATTGACAGCCATAGGCGCACATTGGGTGTGAATTCAGGGGGTGCTGGGATAATTTATGGTTCACACCTCCTAATAATAATATTTCTGCATTGCATTAGATTTAATTTGTATAGTGTATACAATAATTTCTAAAGTGCAATGTATCAAATAGTCTGTATGATTGTAAAGAAGACGCTAGGTACGCTAGGTACACCCACATGTGTTGTCTCCGTATTACAGACGTAGGTACAACATAGGCAAAACTACTCTAAGCTAAGAAACTAAATGTTCAAACTATAAAAATGAGAAAATTTACTCTGTAACTTTGTTTTTATATTTCCGATATCAAAACCAAAATAAAAGTTATTTAAGTTTGATAAACAAAAAAAGGTGCTCTGCTGTACAGTAGGGTACAAGTGGGTCCCTGTATAATCGATGGTATTAAATTTGAATTCAATGATATACTAACATCATTGTATAAGAAAAACGATTCTGAGCGAAGACGGTTAGTCAGCCTATGATATTACTAAGTATATTTGATGATACTAAGGTGAATAAAGCAATTTATATATAACCTATTTACGTAGAATCTTGTTTTAAATTTTCAATCATTAGCTATAAAAGTTGAACATTTTATAAATTATTAACTATAAAATTATTATTAAATTTTAAATGTGATAAATTTTGTCAAAATTTGAATTTTAAATAATTATTAAAAAAATTGTGCCTATGTATTTTTAATATTTTTCAAGTGTTGTTGTAACAATATATCAGGAGCTTTGCATTAAATTTTCAAGCTTTTTTACCATACAAATAAAATTTTATTGATATGAATAGAAAAAAAATATTAAAATATTGAAAACTGAAAATGTCTGTAAATAGCTCAAAAAGAATCAAAATATTTTCAAAACTATATGGTGTATAGGAAATGCTAATATAAAAATTTAGTAAAATTTTCAAGTATCTACAGTCATTCGTTTTTTAATTACAACAAAATTAGAAAATCGTTACACGAGAAATCGAGTGAATATCAAATGTTGTAAAAATATGAATTTCAAACGTTCATAAAAATTTAATTTGAGATTCTTGTAGACATTTTTTTTTTTTTTGATAAAGGTAGACAAACTTATGAGGAATCTCGCATTACATTTTCATATCTTAGATTTAAAAAGAAAATTTTTTATGAATTTCTAACTCGAAATAATTTGCAAATTTTCGTCATTTTCACGTATTTTGTCAATATTTGGAATTTAAATGCTTATAACAATTTGACCCCCCCAAAGTACCAACTAGATTCACTTTCCTATCAGAAAAGATACTGTTGAAGAAAATCCAAGCACTTTTACTGCCCTAAAAGATGATGACGGACAAAAAAAAAATGAATTCGTGAATTCGTAAACAGTTGTAAATATTTGTAATGAAAAGAAAAATTCCGAACCAATAAACCACGATAGTTTATAAATGATTGGTGAAATACTGAAATAAACTGAGGGTGATAGTTTGAAGCTTGCATATAAATGCCCATCTCATACTATGACATAATTTTATATACATAATTTATAACGTTTAATAGTACATTAGTATGATAGTTCTAATTATTATTAGTTGTTTCTTAAACCCGAGTTGTCCATTATGTCATACAATTTGTATGTTTCCTTTTTGACTCTGAGATACAAAAAAAAAAAAAAATTACAAAAATGTACCGCCCCCAAAAAACTTCCGCCCGGGGCAAATGCCCCTTTTGCCCCCCCCCTTAATGCGCCCCTGGTTACATATTACATTTTGTTTCACATGTGTACTCAATGATTCAATTATCGGCTTAAATGCCTCACGGAAATAGTTTTCAGAATCTATAACACCACGTTTCATTTCCATTATTTTTCGTTGTATATTTTTTTTGATGTTATTAAATTTTCCAACAAGACTTTTTCTTGGTTCATTGTAAATAATAAATGTAATATACCTGTATCGTATGAATACAGATGACACTATGCAGATAATAACTGTGTGACGGTATATTTATAATTTATATAAACACATAAAATTATTTTATTTTAATGAATGTATGAAAACCGCATCTATACCTTCCTTCATTCATTTCTCGAGTTTTATCGATAACCATAAACCCATAATAGCTATGATTCCAGCATAAATGAGAAATTTTCCGAAATTCTGAGAAATCCATATCTGCAGACGAATGATCGTTGAATATATGTCGTAAATTTGTATCATCTTGTTTCAGTATTATTAAAAAGTTTGCGTTATCTCTTACAAGCTGTTTTGATATTTTAGAATATGTCTGTGCTAAATAAAATACGGAGCTGGCACCTGAATGCCTACCAATGCTAAAGTATTCTCTGATTACAGATTGTGGGCCGCATATCACATCATCAAAAATTATAATAGAATTTTTCTTCGTTAAGTTTGGTTATCAGCGCTTGTAAATATGAAAAAATTAGCACCTTTTATATCATCTATTTTTTTTTTCAATAAAACATATTTTTCCAGATTAGATGTTTTCGAGTATAAATAAATATTTTCAAATCTTAACCCGTTTGCATGTGTGATCAGATTATACATTATATTTGTTTTTCCTGAGCCACTGGGACCAACTAGTATAGCACGTATAGTATCGGGTAATAACGAACCGTGTCATGATGGTTTTTTTACTACCTGAACATCTACATTTATTACATCTAATTTATCTTTCTGTTCAATCAAATTCATATTATTTTCATATAAATACTCTAGATTTTTTAGATTTATAGCCAGTTATAGATGGCGTGTTCAACTCGTAAGTACAATTCAAACAAGACTGGTAAAGGATTTGTAAACTCCCTTATAAATAGTCTCCCGTTCGAAGCCCATGTTTCAGGATATCAGTATTGTGGTCCTGGCACGAAATTAAAAAAGAGACTAAACAAAATGGAATAAACCCATTGGATGCTGCTTGTCGTGATCACGATATTGTGTATGCAAAGAGTAAAAATTTAGACGATAGACATAAAGCTGATAAAGTGTTAGAAAATCGTGCTTGGGAAAGATTTAAAGCAAAAGATACTCCTAGAAAAGAGAAATTAGTTGCGTACGCAGTAACAAACGCAATGAAAGCTAAAAGAAAAATAGGTATGGGTTGTAAACGGAAAAGTGCTATAAAAACAAATGGTATACTAGCAGCGAAGAAAAAAAGAATCTTAAAGAAAAAGAATGGTGGTAAAAGGTTGATTTTAGCACCAAGACAGTCAGGAGGTGTAATCCCCTTAATACCTATATTTACAGGATTGTCAGCACTTGGTAGTTTGATGTCTGGAGGTGCTAGTGTGTATAATGCGGTTCAAAATTCAAAAAGAAAAAAAGGCAGTGGTTTGAAATCAAACAAGAGTAAGTTAAAAAAAAAAACTGATGATCAAGCTACCTGACAGACCGCTTTCGTCTCAAGATATTATAAAATATGTTGAAAAGTTGAAAATCAATCATTTCCGTGGAGTCTTTTCACGTGATAACTTACCTAAAAAACCGCATGCTATTGAATGTGGTATATTAAACTTGAATATTTCTTCAGGCGACGGAAGTCATTGGGTAGCGTTTTATAAAAATAAGGACAAAGTTGTATACTTTGATAGCTTTGGTGATTTACCACCACCAATTGAATTACAACATTATTTCAGACAGTTCAAAATAGTATACAACTATTCCAACTATTAAGACTTCAATACATTTAACTGTGGTCATTTATGTCTTGAATTTTTACAATGCATGAATCTATTACATTAAGTTTTACTGGAAATTCAACTGTATTGTCGGCAAATTATTTTCCATCTCTAAACGTTTACGAGGATTCGGAAATAGCTTTGTTATCTTTGCAAACGTTCAATTCATTTCCAAATATTATAAATCCAACTAATAACCGGTTGAAATTACAAACAATTCCTCCAAAGAAAAACAGAGAAGACTTTCGCATTTTTGAATTTTTTTTGGGAGACGGATGCTATGACATAGAAGATATTGACAATTATATGGCAAAAGAGTTATCTCAAGTTAATAACGACTACGGAACACATCTAACATTCAGTATACGTATGGATCCTGTCGATTTTAGAACGTATATAAAATGTAATGGAATACTTCGATTTAATACTTCATATAGTATAGCACTTGTTTTTGGGTTTAAAAAGAAAGATTGTGGTCCGTTTCATGAAGAACGTCGATCGGATAAAGCTGTTAATTTAAACACAATTAATTCTATAAAAGTAATGTGTAATATAGCACATGGGTCATTCAACAACCAACTTCAAAGTCATTCGATACACGAGTTTTTCCCGATTGGGAAAACAGGAACAAAGGTTGTTCAATCTCCGGTAAACAAAACAGATATTAATTCAATTACTGTTCAGTTAGTTGACCAAAACAATAATCCAATTGATAATTTTAACGAGACGTTAACAGTTGTTCTACATATTAAACGTCACGGATCTCATCATTAAATTTATATCTTAGATTTTGTAATGTACGAGTCAGTTACTTTAAGTTTAACTAGGAATGCTACCATATTATCTGTAAATTATTTTCCACCTATAAACCTTTACGAGGACTCAGAAATAGCTTTGTTATGTTTACAGCACGGTTATCTACTAGTAGATAACCGTGGTTTACAGTCATTTAATTCATTCCCAAATATTAATGAAAATAATAATAAATTTTCTATACAAGTAGCTGATAATGAAAACAATAATGATAGTGATGATACTATGATATGTTTTATGACATTGGAAGAGGGTTGTTATGAGATTGAAGATATTAAGCAACGAGTTAAGAAGCAAATAGATGACTATAATAAGAAAAACTTAACAAATCTAACATTCGACATTACGGTTGATCATAATGATTTCAGATCGTATATAAAATGTAATGGAATACTACACTTTGAGTATCCATATAGTATAGCACCTGTATTCGGTTTTGAAAAACGAGTATATAAGCCATACTATGAAATTCTTCGATCGGAAAAAGCTGTAAATTTAAACACAATTAATTCTATAAAAGTAATGTGCAATATAGCTCAAGGATCATTCAACAACCATCTTCAAAGTCATTCGATTTATGAGTTTTTCCCGAGTGAAAGGACAGGGTCGAAAGTAATTCAGTCACCGCCAAATTTAATATATTACAAATTGAATAAAACAAATATTGATTCGATAACCGTTCAATTAGTTGATCAAGATCATAATCCGATTGATAATTTTGGTGAGGCATTGACAATCGTGTTACATATTAAACGTTACGGGTCTTGAGATGGGGCTGAAATTCAATATAAACCCGCTACTTCGGATCAGCACAACTAGTCATAAGACTAAAGTGCTACCAGCAACATCAAATAAGATAAAAAAATTAACGGTAAAAAATAAAAAAATTTTACAAGCTCTGGGTTATCAATCAAAGCTGAATGCCTGAGAGTGATATTTTAGATATAACTTCACAGTACGAAACGGATTCTAAAATTACGAAAATTGAATATCATTCATACACACCGTATACTACATCATTTAATAATAATGATGAAATACGTATATCAATCCAGTAAACGGATGTCTACCCATATCTACACGAAAGCTTTATTTTTTTGGAAGGAACAATTACTGATGCTACCAAAGTGAAACTATCTAATAACGGTTACTCTTACCTCTTCGAACAAATACGATTGGAAATCAATGGGATAGAAGTAGATAGCACACGTGTTCTTGGAATCACTAGCTCGTTTAAAGGTTACTTATCCGGTACGCCAGATAACTACAATTGTTATGAAAATGCTGGCTGGAATTTTAAAAACGCAACGCAATCGGAAAATGACAAAGGTGAATTTAGTGCTTGCATTCCATTGAAATATAGGTTAGGATTGTTTGAAGACTATAAAAGAATATTAGTGAATTCTAGATTGGAATTAATATTAACCCGAAATCATAGTGATTTAAATGATTTACAAGTTAAAAGTGGTGCAACTGCTACTGAAGGTAAAGTCACCTTAAATAAAATAGTCTGGAAGGTCCCACATATAACGGTCGACGACGAAGAAAGGTTAAAATTATTGAAACTTATAGAAAAAGAAAAAAGTCTATTTATCCCTTTTAGATCTTTTGAAACTTTTGAATATCCTGAACTCGGAACCACTAAAAAAGTTGTATGGAATTTGAAAACTGCTTCAAAATTAGAAAAACCACGATTTATCATAATTGGATTACAAAAAGGACGCAAAAATTTGCTAACAAAAGATTGCAGTATATTTGATCATTGTAATTTAACAAACGTTAAAGTATTTCTGAACTCTATAGCTTATCCATACGATAATTTGAATTTAGATTTTACTAAAAACAATTTCACCTTATTATATAATATGTATACATCGTTTCAAGAATCGTACTATGAAAAAAGTATTCGTAACCCGATATTGAGTCCTTCTACTTTTCTGACAAACGCTCCAATTATAGTTATCGATACTTCGAAACAGAACGATTCAGCCACAGCCTCACCAGTGGATGTTCAATTTGAAATTGAAGCTTCAGAAACGCTCACAGGTGTGACTGCTTACTGTTTCTTAATTCATGATCGTATTGTAGAATATGTACCTTTTACTAGAGAAGTAAGAAAACTTGTGTAAATATAATTAAGAATTTATTTGTAACAATAAAAAAACTATGATTTTATAATTTGTGTTTTTTCTTGAAATAATTATTTTAGTTTTAAGATTGGTAAATGTTAAATATTTTTGTGTGAGACGAAATTTGGTGAACAATCAGTGTGAAATGTGTTACACGGTAAATCTGAGTGCTCCAAGCGGACATTCCCCCCTTGAACTTTTTTTCCCTGGAAAAGCTGGCTGTGAACATACAAATATATACTACTAATATTCGTAATAGGTGCAGTAAACTTGTGACGCTCGAATGCACAAAAATCATAAAATAGTGAACTTCATTAGGCCATATAACTTCGAAACTAAGTCCGACCGACAAATTCTGATTGCACCACTGTTCTTAAATAGTTAATATGAGTAAGTTCAAAAAAAAAAAATCGAAAAATTTGCATGGGGTGGTAAAGTGCATTTTAGCCAATAATAATAATAGTTATGTATAATAAAATATAATTGAATTAATTTAATGAAAGAGGTTAAAAACTTAAATGTAATTTTGACCATAGAACTGTTTTGACATAACATAAAAACATGATATAGGTGTTTGACTGATTCGAATGATTCGAGTGACCGAAGTACCGATTACCATCACCTCTACGAATCGCCCGACGCCCATTGACGATATGTGACCGAAATATTGAATGAACGAATTATTTTAGTATTTTACTGATTCGTTCCGAATGATTCGAAATTCGAATCACTCAAGTGACCGAATTATCCCATCTCTAATCGAAACACACTACAATACACGTAACTACGTAAGTATATTCAGTACCACTTACGGACAAAATTGTCAAGAGCGATGTATGTGACTAACAATGGATTTCATTTCCTTCCGAATTTAACTGGTTGGGTCTGAGGAAACATAATATTATTATAAATTTACAAATTGTTGTTCGTTGTGGAATATTTTGAATTTTCTAAAAAAATAGTTTGAACCCGGAAAAATAAGTATTTAAGACATTTCATGGAGCAAACGGTGCGAACGGAGCTTCCATGTATTTACTACATAGATAATAAAATAATATCTTTATTAACTATGATTTACTACCGTAAAATCCCATTATTCACATTTCACATTTCGTTATTCTTTTGATTTAGAATTATTTAGAAGACAGAAACTTAGAGAATTCAAAATGCAAAACGACGCCGGAGAATTTGTTGACTTGTACTGCCCGAGGAAATGGTGAGCGTTTGTCGGATAATGGCAAATTTGTTTGTATTCGTGACATCAAAAATGTCATGATGTTCGAGAGCCACATGCCATTTTTCAGTGTTCGTGTTTTACTCACAAAAATGTTTGTAACTTTGTTAATAGCTCTGCCAGCAACCGTATCATTTCTGCTAAAGATCATGCTTCTATACAGATCAATTTAGCCGAAACCGACTCGGCCACTGGTCGCATAACCGGAAATCACAAAATCTTGACCATTAGTGGAGCTATTCGTCGGATGGTTAGTACTTAGTATGAATAACATATTTAATATAATATATTGGCATATTATGATTTTACGTAAATATTTTGAATTGATATAAAAAGTGTATGTATTTATTGGCACAACTATGGTAAAATTTGTTTTGTGGTGCTAATTGGAAAAATTAAACATTTGGCAGCAACTTTAATACTTCATCAGTTGATTTGAAAATATATACTCAACTTATTTATATGTTACTTTCCATGACTACTTATTAATAAACTTGTAACAACAAATTACATTTTTTGGCTTTTCGCTTTTAATCTAACTTATGTTTTTTTAAACTTAATTTGTATTAAACATTTTGTGTGTATGACGCATATTATTTGCTTATGTCCATTCCATATATTCTTTCAATTATTCAATTGATTATATCGTTCGGGGTTAGAAGTTTGGCATGTTTGTCAGTGTCGTGGAATATATTTTAATAAATATGTGTATGAGCCACCATACTACAGTCTACAGTATTTCTAAAAATCTCATTTCTTACTTTGTTGAAGTAATGAAATAAAAGATAATTTAATTTTTTCATCCGCACCGGTCATTGTACATAACAAATACATACACAGCAGACATGTTAAATTGCATAAGTAAAATTCACAAACTTTCCCTGTTTGGGACTTTGGTAAATATTTAACTCTCTTTACTGTTAAATCTGTAAAACAAACTTCAATCAGGTTTGAAGATTCAAAAAATAATTAATTGCCGTATATTTAAAGAGGCATACCTAATTCAGCAATAAACAAAGTTTTCATCTCATACTAATTCATAAATTTACTTTTTAGGGAGAGTCAGATGACTGCATAACGAGGTTAGCAAAAGAACACGGGATTGTAGCTAAGTAAGTAAATACTGTTTAGCCTATTTGAATAAAAACTAATTATGAATTGCCTGATTTTTTTTTCAGGAATTTCTAGTGTAACTAAAGTTATAAATTTTTCTATTTGAAAATGTGAATAATAAAAAAACAAAAAGCAAAAGTATTAAGTGTTTTTATTTTTTGATATTTAATGTAATACTGAAAAGTGTGCAATGAACCAATAATGACCCTTTATTTAATTTATTTAAGCGTGTAATAATTTATAAATTAATTCACTCTGTACATTAAGCTTAGGTTAAGTTAAAGAATAAGATTAAAACATTGAAACTTGGTTTACAAATATTATTAATCTTTTGTATTAAATAATGCCATAGAAGTTAATCTTAGGCATTATACACCAGTGTATACTATGTTCAAGTTAAGAAATGTAGTCGGCAGCCGATGTGTATGCAGAAACGCGGTTATACTACCCGGCAGGTATACTGATGATTCACTTGATATAAACAGACGTTGCTTGATGAAAACCGATGTTGCTGCAGACTATGTTTCTTAACTATTATACATGTATAAAAGTCATTAGTAATTAAAATATATATATAACAATGAATCTTAAATACTGAGCAATTGATGATAAATTATAATTACTTTTACAGGGTTTTCATTATGATGTACAGGTTTTTACGTACTTATTGATGAATATTATAATATTTTTCATCTTCATACTTCTATATTAATTTTAGATTCTGAGCAGAGCAATAAATGTATTGATTTTACAATGTGTTATATTTTTTTTTTGTGTCTGTCATCACCGTTTGGGGCAGTAAAAGTACTTTGATTTTCTTCAACAGTATCTCGATCGATGGGAAAGTGAATCTAGTTGGTGCATTCAAGAGGTAAAAATTTCCCAGTAATTTTCAAAAGCGCAGGGAAAAACAAGATGAAAATTAAGGAAAATCTAAAATTTTTACACAAAATCGATTTTGGTTTTTGGTGTATCTCTAAAACAAATGACCGTAAGGCGTAGATACATGAAACTTTCACTGAATGTTTGTATTAGTATTTTTCATACACGATAACATTTTCAAAATATTTTAACTTGCTTAGAGCTGTTTACAGAATTATTCAGTTTCCAATTTGTTAAGTTTTTTTTCTATAAAAATCAATAAAAATGTAATAATTTGGTCAAAAAGCTTGAAAATTTAATACAAGGCTCCTAATATATTGTAACAATTACTGTTGAAAAATATTAAAAATACAGTCAAAATATTTTTTTATAAGCATTTAAAATTCAAATTTTGACAAAAGGACAGGTGTACATTTTTTTTTAAAATGTAGTACAAGTTACTTATAAGTTTGTCTATACAGTCGAATTTGGTTAACTCGAAGTTGAAAGGACCGGAGTAAAAGTTCGAGTTATCCAAAAAAAAATTTTAAAACTACTGTATATTAATTCCTGTGTATATGTAATTTTAAAAAGGTATTTATTTTTGTTTGAGTTTTGCTGTTGATTGCAGCGTTTGTAGTGAAGGATGTTCAGGATTTTCCGGTTCTCTAGCCCTTTTTCTGCCCTTTATACTGGACGTAGCCAACTTATTTAAAATTGTTTCTTTATTATTAAGATAAGTTGATAAGTGTTAGGTGGAATACCAAATTCTTTAGCTATCAAAGACTTTGTTTTAAATCCATTTTCAACTTCCTGTATCACTGCCGCTTTTTCCTCGTATGATAGCGTTTTTAGCATGCGTTTGGATGATGACATTACGACCGATCACGTTGAAACAAGCACAGAGCACCGAACACGAAAGTCATGCGTCATCGTCGTAAACCGTAGATAAACAACTTATCGGTAACGATAACATTAATGAGTAATGACTAATGACCTTTATAGATAAATGAGGGAAATTTTATACAAATGCATATGTATTAATAAAACTCAAAACTTTGAGTTATCTACAAAAATATTCGAGTTAAACAAGATTTTTTTACATTGTTTAAATAGTAAAATCTAGGGACTGGAGTAAAAGTTTGAGGTATCGATGATTTCGAGTTCAAGAAGTTCGAGATAACCAAGTTCGACTGTATTTATAAAAAAAAAAAAATGTCCTATAAGAAAGTCAAATTAAATTTTTATGAGCGTTTGAAGTTCAAATTTTTACAACATCTGAATCTATAGATAAGGTTAAGAAATTCATGAATAATTACGTTGATTTAATTTAAAAAAAAAAAACAAAAACAAAAAATAATCTTGAACAGTTAACAATAAAAACAATAATATTTTAAGAATTAATTATTGTAATTGTATTAATTATAGATATCTAGAACCTATAATAATCTTATGAATCTATTGTTTTTCTTACTATTTGTATGTAGGTTTCTCATTGCAAAGCTATTGATAACCACTGTAACTATTTAAAAAAATTAAGCATATCTTATCTCACAGAGTCTTTAATACTTGGGTTATGATTTATTGATTTTTGTTAAACTTTACAAAAATATATACTAAATTTCTCACAGTATAAATTTGAAATATATATTTTTTTAATATGCATTCATACAACGGAATGAGATGAAATATATTATATAAAAAAAAAGTACAATTCATAACTTTTATAACTGTCCACATTGTGATATAACAATAGGTATTTTTGGTTTGTTGTTGGGACCAGTAGGAACATTTTCAATTTTTCTCATTACCAACAACCCATCAACGACACGGCCAAATACCACATGTTTTCCATCCAAAAAGTTGCAGTTTGCACAAGTAATAAAAAACTGACACCCGTTGGTATCTATACCACTGTTTGCCTATTGTGGAGAATATAAAAAATAATTTATACATTTTATATAAAATTATAATATACACAATGCACTTACCATTGATAAAAGTCCAGGTGCGTCATGGTTAAGTTTAAAATTTTCATCTGAAAATGTATCTGCTCCGTATATACTCATAACCCCAGTTCCATCACCCTAAATAAATAAGAATTGTACAAAATATTGATTCATGCAAATAAAGTATTGAGTATTTAAAAATTGAAACTTACATTTACAAAATCACCACCTTGTATCATGAAATCCTTAATTATCCTGTGAAAACAACATCCTTTATATCCGAATGGAATTCCATCTTTTTTGTGTTCACCAGTACAAAATTGACGAAAATTTTCACTAGTTTTAGGCACAATGTCAGCATACAATTCCATTATTAATCTACCAATTTCCTGTATAAAACATCTATTAATTTAAATGCAACACTTTAAATTTACTATTTAGTAGGTTTCAATATACTAGAAAAATTTTATATAATTAGAATTTTATGGAAATCAGAGACTCAATGTGGTTTTTATTAATTTTGACCATTTATCTAATTATCTCATGTTTTAAACAGAGCTTAATGTCATAGTTAATAATTAATAATTTGGATGGGTTTTAAGAATAGTTTCAAATCAGACTTTAAAAATTAAAGGTAAATAATATTTTATACTCTACATTAAGTTAAAGTTATAAATACATTATAACTACCTATACGACTGAATGTTATATTATTTAAATATGCACTGCAATAACAAAAAAAGACACTTACCGTTCTTCCAACGGATATATCAAAGAATACAACAGGGTTTTGCGGGTTTCTTAATTGACTTTGAATTTGGTTCCAGGTCGGCATGGTTTAGCTTTTTTAAAATACAAATTTAACTATTTATGCTGTTCAAAATATTTCGTTGCACAAACCAGTAAAAACGATAAACTAAATACTAGTTTTGGAAGCCAATAATTATGGCATAACACCAATAGAATAGTTATGGCTTGAAATTTTAACTGTTCAAAGTACCTAGTCGCCTGTATGTCCTAATCAAATTGTTGTCAAAATAAAACAAAATTTAATGATATTTGAATCCCGGGTATATCGTGTATGATCTTGGATAATATTCGTTGTCTTATTAACCTACAACCGGCTAGAGGCTACAATTACTGGTAAGTAAGTTGCTGTTTACTGTAACTGGCAACTGTTATTATTTATTCAAGATAATAGATACTACTATTGTGATTGAGGCTACCCGCTACAGCGCCATGGCGGGCGCCCACCGTAGACCTATAAACAAATGGACAGCTCTTAGAGAGAGAAATACGAGTCCGAGAGAGAAAGTACTATGCGTTTGCGAGTATTATCACAAAATAACCGTGGTTGATAATTTGATAGTACTATCTACAAAGATTAATGTTAAATTTTAATTTAAAAAAAGATTTTAGTGTATATTAACTTTACTAATTACTAGTGTTAATTGAATAATTATTGTATTAATTTGTCAAGACAAATTCAACATTTAGTAATTTAGTAATTTTTATTTTTTAAGCATGGATAAGTCTAATTATTCATCACCATTGATTATTTTCAACAATAAACAAATATTATTAAATTGTAAGTTATACCTACTAATTTTGTATGCATAATCGTATAATGTACAGTATTGTGATTCATTAATCAAAGCATGCAATAAATACATTTAAGGAGAACTTACAATATTTAATTTAATTATAAATTTAGTTGTATAGAATACAACTAAATGTATGATTTACTATTATTTCCATTACAATTTATTCATCATAAATAATTAAAACTACCTTGCAATTAGTATATCTTACCATTATCATATAATTGTCTAGGTATTTTTATAGAGGAACATTATATGCAAATTATAAATTGTTGATGTACCTAATCTTAGCATATTCTATTAAACAATATTTGTTGCATACAAATCTGGGTTATAGTTATTGCTTATTATGCAGAATATTACATAATATAATACTTTTATTATTATTCTGTGTTTATTTTAAGAAGATTTATATAATCAACAAGTTTAAGAATGTTCATAATTATTATTTTTTAATTTTTAAGCATTAATGATTGTGTATTTTAAACAGGCACAGTTGTTCCAGAAAATTTAATTCAAAATAATGATAGTCACACAATGGATATTGATTCCAATGTAAAGTTACACCCGGACTATGCACCTGAAAAGAATAATATACCATTCTTGAAAAAAAATCAAAAAAAAAAAGGAAGAATTCGTTTCAAATGTTTGCATTGTGAATACTTAACATTTCGAAAACAAAATTTAATTGTGCATCTTAGAGAAAAACACGAAGTACCTTTATAAATAATAAAGTTATAGTTATGCTTTTTAATAATTAAATCAATTTTTTTTTATAGACTAGAAAACAACTAGAAACTAAAGTTAATAATGGTACATCAAATACAACAAGAACAATTGAAGTATTTTCGTGTACGTTATGTAAAATGACGTTTAATACACTGGATAAATGTAAAGAACATATGGCACAGGTAATTAAAACCAAAATTAGATTTTCTATTACATATTTATTAGACCTTACATTCATATTTTTATTCATTTTTAGAAATTATATTATTTTTTATTAGATGTTTAATTTGTACAGTTATTTAAATCATTTTTAATTTTAGTTTCAAGTTTTCTATATACTATAGAGAAGTTATTTGAAGAAGTAATTTTATTAATTTAAAATACGAGTATCTACTTTTAAATTTTTTTCAGCATTTAATAAATACTCATCAAAATAATCAAAATAAACAACAAGAACAAAGTCGTAAAAGTATTCAACTAAGTAAAAAAAATTTTGAAGATATAGAGTATGTTTCAAAGTAAGTTAAGGTTTTTTTTAAATATTTTGCTTATCAGAATAAAATACAAATGGCAACTGTTTTAGGTGTGTGCATTGTAAGCGTAAATTTCGTTCTGAAAATTCCAAATTACTTCATTCATTGTGTCACCAAAATGATTGTAAAGATTATAAATGTAGTGAAAAAAATTGTGATTTTATAACACCAAGATGGAATGCTTGTCGTATTCATTTATGGAAGGTTCATAAAATTGACATTGATATGTTTAGCTGTCAAGTATGTTAATTTACTTATCAGAATATTTTGAACAATGTTTTCCTTTAAATTGTTATTTTATATTAGTTGTAAGCATTCTTGATTTGGGTGTATAAAAAACTAATTTATAAAAAAAAATTTAACGCATTGGTCTAAATTGTATTAGGAACTGTAATAAACTAATAATAATAATATAGAGGGTATTTCTGAGTAATCTATTCAAACATTAAAAATGATCTCATGTTAGTAGGTGGAATTAAAATTTTTTTTTCATTAAAGCCTTTGTCAGGAAATATCAAAAATATTGTGACATTAAAATAGGGGTTTTCTGGGATATTAACTCCAGTCAGAAGAATGATTGCTTAAATGTGTTTGAAACTAAATTATTATACAGGTCTGACAGAAACATCTGATAAATGAAATAACTTTTGTTCCAGTAAATGTTAAAAAAAAAGTTTTAATAATGTTTAAACACTTGCTCTACAAGTTCAGTAGAATAATATATATATTTTTTTTAATAATATCAAACTAAATTTTAATAATTTTTTTTGAAAACATCAAAATAGCCAATTGTAAATATAATTTTAGATAATTTTGGTAATTTTGACAAATTTGGTCATAATTTGAACTAACTCTTCAAAATAAATTGTTCAAATGTATCTTTAATTTTTGTAAATGCCTATTAAAACAACTTTATGAGGAATCATGAATTAAATTTCCAAGTTTTTTGACCAAGTGCAAATTTTTTTTTGACAATAATTGAAAAAAAATCAAAAATTCTCCAAGCCGATATGAATATATTTTGAAAATTTTATTTTATATGAAAAATGGTTACATCAATATTTTGAGGAAATGTATATCATCTACGGAGTACAGTTATTTGTTTTTGAATGTAAAAAACTCTGAAAAGTTTTTGTAAAAATTGATTTTTATAAATATTCCTAGCTTTTTAAAATTTTTTTTTTGTTTTTCCCGACATGTATGAAAAATACTGGGGATTTTTACTTTGGGAATTATAGACTAATGACCAATTGTTGGTTGGTATATATATATATATATATTAATAATACCTACTATCATTGATTATAAATGCTAAGTAACTAATGGGCGACGACAGCTCCTTATAACGGCCACATCCATTTTTTGTCAATATTTCGCACTGCTTAATTATAGAATACAGGCTAGTGATTGATTTATAGTATTTATAATTAATGAAATATAATTCACTGCTAAATATCAAATATTGCCAAAAAATTTAATTCAAACTCTCATTAAAACCTGTCTTTTTGGTAAACTTTTATTTTACCTAACCTAACCACGACCCCATATTCAAGAATTGATTGTACTAATGTAAAGTAGAGAGAACGAAGATAATTCACTGATGTATAAGGTTTAGTGTTGCGTTTAATAAATCCAAAAACTTTAAGAGCTCGTACTACTGTGGAGTCAATATAGTGATTAAATGAAAGAGAAGACGTATAAAGGATACCGAGGTCTTTAATTTGAAATACTTGTGTAAGTGGTAAGCCATTGATGGAATAGGTCTATTAGTGGGCAAACGTGATTTAGTGAAGGTAAGTCACTAGGTAGTTAGGAGTGACATTTGTCAAGATTTAGTAAGAGTCCAAGACGATCTACCCATGTAGAAAATAGATTTATCTCTCCTGGTCAGCCGTAGTCAACTTTCAAAAATAGTTTGATGTCATCAGCAAAGAGAAGAAACTTGACCGTACTAAAATGTTAGGACACATAATTTATAAAAAGAGAGAACAGCAGAATTCTTAGGCCCCTCGAGGGATGCCTGGCGAGATGTCAATTATGTATGATGATACCCCAGCCACTCTTACAAATTGCTTCCTGCCTGTGATGTAAGATTTGTACCATCCAAACAATGGGTACCCAAGGCCTAGAAACCAAGTCGGTTATTACGACGCCTATATACAAATGAAACATTTATTTCAAAAATTTGTTGTATGTGAACAAAAAATATATGAAAAAATGAAATTAATAAGATTTCAACCAAATTGAAAATAATTGGAGAAGTACCAAGTACGTCTTTGAGGTTTAGCTTTAATATCAATAGAAATACATGTTAGTCAAAAAATAAAGTTTGATGAATTAATTGATCAATTTGGATAATTAAGACAAAAGAAATAATCTATGTATTCTACATTTGTAGGTACACAAAATTTACCTAACTTGCTAATTCTTGCCAATTATTTGCTAAATGTTGATATAGGTTAGATTGGTTTGAGAGAAATTGGGTGGGCCATCTTCACGGCCATTACATTTTGATTTAATTTTATCCCCATATTCATTGTCAAATTTTTAATTATTGTTACACTTTTTTTATCTGTGTTCCTTGACACGTTTTATTTAAATGTTTTGAACCAATTAATTTATTTTACATTATAATTAAATGTTTGTTTTTTAACATAAAATAGTGTAAATTTATCTTTTGTTTATTTAAAAAAATGTAGGGGCCCCATGAAATTGTATGCCTCTAGCCATTAAAATCCTAGTTACACCACTGATTTTAACTAATATTTTATTTTTGATAGGTTTGTAAAAAATATACAACTACAACATATCATAACTTAGTTAATCATGTATCAATGAAACACAATAAAACATTGTCTTGTGTAGACTGTGGTGCTGAATTTCAGGATTCGACTGCACTACAAAATCACAGAGTATTTCATTCAAAAGCAAAGTCTGTAAATAAAGAAAGATGGTAATAATATACTATTTTGGTTTTTGATTACTTAGATTATACGATTTTAAAAATGTTTCCATAGGTATATGGAAAAGACATGTGTAATTTGTAACATGGTGTTGGCTAATTCAAAAAGTTTAAAACTTCATACAAAAAATGTTCATCTGAAGTTAAAGCCTTATGTGTGTCAAGTGTGCAATCATGGTTCAGCAACTAAATACATGATGCAAGTTCATATGCGGCAGCATACTGGTGAAAAACCATTTAATTGCGATGCTCCGGATTGTAATTTTAAAACTGGTAATAAACAAAATTATCTCATCATGAAAAAAAAATTTACTATTTGGTATAATGTATAGGGGATCATAACTCACTCAGACGTCATAAACTACGCCACTCAAATGAAAGGCCGTACAAATGTACCCATTGTGATTACAAGTGTATCCAAGTGACTGCTCTCAAAAGTCATATAACGAATAATCATCGTGATAAAATGGACAATTCATACTACTCATGTAATCGGTGCACATTTGGAACAGTGAGCTTAAAAAGATATAATGACCATGTATCTGGTCATGAAACACAAGTTCAAAATGGTAAACCATTTGCAGCATTGTATTGCCTTTATATTTTAATTATATTCTAATATTTTTCAGGTCTAGAACCTAGTCCTGTGAAATGTCATGAGTCAAAAGCTGAAATGACAGACGATGATGATACTGCACAAGGATATGTTGATGACACAGGTGGTATAACAATTTCTGAAAGTGTGGGTTGTGCTGTATTAAATTTAGATGATAATGCAATTATGCTTACATAATATGTTTTAAATAAAATTAATCTTAATACAAATTCAAAATGTTTTTTTTACCTTAAATTAATTTCCTTTTCAGTATCCATACACTATCAATTACATTTTGAATCATGTAGTATGTACTATAAACTGATATTTAAAATGTTAATTAATTGTTTAGAGTTAAGATTAAAATTGACATGCATACATAGTATTCAATGTAATTGTAATAAACAATTTTCAAAAACATTATAGGGTATAGGCCTTAAGGGTATAAACACTGTATCACAAATAAATAAAGAACATTATAAGACACCATTTTTAAAGAATATAAGGAAGTAAATAAATAAAGTTATAGTTTATTTTTAATGAAAAATATCAACTTCCAAATGCTGTATTTACTTCTGTTTGTCAATTGACTACATTATTTAACAAATGAGTATATTTTGTTAGAATTGTTAAAAATTGATTTAACTATAGTTGATATAAAATATACAAATAATTAAAAAATCTAAAAAATGTAATTAAATTAAAAATTAACAAACAATACTTGAGTAATTATTTTATACATCAATAAAAAAAATTTATCTTAACGAATAAAAAAAAAAACAATCTGTCTAACTTATTTACCATTATATGGTATAACAAATTTGTACTACCATAAATTATAAAATAATTCCCTATAATATAATATATGTTAGTCGTGTTGTGATTAATAAGGATGCAGAAAATATAAGCTTGATTTTTATATTACATCAATTAATAAATGTTGAATTTGACTCATTTATAGTAGACAAGTTATAAGTGCAATGACTACATGTAAAACAAAATAATGATACAATAAAAGACAATTTTTTAACACCAGTCATTATGAATGATAAAATTAATTTATGATATTATATACATACAAATAGAATAATTATTAATGTTTTATAATATTTAAAAAAACACATTAACTAGAAATTATTTGTGATTTTTTAAACCTCAAATAAAAAAATTGACACTGTTATTTTGATAAAAACAATTTGACACATAGACACACTAACATACACACATATACACAATAGCATTTACATTTTTAACGAAATAAAAACGAATTATCACAGACAAGTTACCATATTTCAAGTGTAGGAATGTGTGTGCATGCTATGGTGCCACAGCACCCTGTTACTTTGAAATTAATTTAAGTTTATTACATTGTATTAATTTAAAAATACTTATACATTAAAAATGTTACTTTAATAAACATTCCACTACCAATAATAATTAAATTCAACAAAACTAAATAATACATTTTTATTCTACATTAAATTAATAAATATGTAATTGTTATTGAGCTTAAAGTTTAGGGTCAATAAATGCAAGTATAACAAATATTAATATTAATTTAAATAGTCAGTGGACTAATTATTAGTTTTATTCAGATAGCATGAAAATAATTGATAGATTTAATTTAAAGCATGTTTCAATTATGCATACAAACCAAGCCGATGAATTTTGGCTGATAGGAAGTTGTGTAAAATGAACACTAATGGTTTAGGACTACACTCCAAGTCTATTTCCTAAAATAAATAAATAAAATATTAGTTCGGCAACTATAATACAATAAACTGGGATGGATAAATAAATAATTAGTACTCGGTAGATTTATTTTATTAACTAAAATATTAACTTAAATACATATCTAACTTTTGTTTTTACTTTAATCATAATTTATAATTTAAACAGATAGCTGTACAATTCAGTTCTTATGACTATATTCTTCATTCATTGGGAAGGTTTATATTGAGAACTATTTGTGATTGCTTTAAATATATGTTATTTCATAGTGACTATTATCACATTTTAAAAATGATTTCAAACTGAATTACACTGATTTGAATTTTTTAAATTTAAGAAAAGTATAACTAAGACAAAAACTTTTTATCTTATTAAAATTGATGATTGATGGTTGTGCACCCCCAAACAGTTTTGGTCAAAGATGACACCAAACAACAATAGACCTCATACCTAACATAGACATAAACTGTCTTAACTTAAAAGTAATAAGTAACCAACTATAAGTAATGTTAATAAACATATGTTATTATTGTCCGTTAACAGTTCTAGTATTATTTATTTCAAAATCAAACCTAACACCTTCACCCTTGATCTATATAAAGTATCATTGGTTAATACTTACTATATCCACGCTATCGCCAAAGTCCAGCCATAGTAATCTGTTATTATCATCAGAAGACATTTTTAATTTATCAAAAGGATAACTCCATAACTTCTTTGGTTCACGCCCTACAGACCCAGTTTTTGATTCAATAAGTGTAAATCCATTCTCATAGTGAATTGATAATTGTGCTGGTTTTCCATGCCATAAACAACCTGTTTGAAATAACATTTACATAAATAGAAGATATAGGTATTATTTTTAAAATTATAAATACTAACATAAACATACACATTTTAACTTCAATCTGAGTTAATAATCAAATTTTTTTCTATGCCAACAATAACATTGAATATTATGTACTTACGACGATTTACTTCTCTTCTAATAGCAACAGAATTATGGCAACCTTGAATTACAGCTCTTGCCCAACTGGCAAGATCTCTTTGAGTATCAACTTTAAACCGATGAGTAATGATACCTTCTTCTGTTCCACATCTTAAACTAAATGTGATTAATTCTGAGTTACGAGATGAATTCATCAGCCTTGTAGATAAAAGTGAACAAACAAAGAGTGGAGCAGACCAAGCATCTGGACTCCAGGGGGCAACTTCATACAATCGTAATTCTTTACTAGTGACTACTCCAAATACTGATTGCCATTTGTCATTCACTGTAAATTCTTCATCTGAACTTATGCTACGCATGCTATTCTAAAAATATAACATTATTTAATAATAAATTAATAAATATTGAACAAAATAGTTAATTTATATAATAGTTATGAATAGAGCCCGGATTTAAATTTCCCTAAAAAATATCAAAAAACGAATGTATGACCTAAATACTCACTGAAACATAATATACAGCTGACAATCAGTATGGTCAAGTGACCACCGAAACAATGGTATTGTACTTAAAGAAAACATATATATGACGCCTTTATCTGTGTAAATAGCCATAGGCTAATTAAATTGTGTGACATTAGGATAAATATTTGTGAATAGTTTTATTTAAAAACCAGATTATCTAATGTTGTAGTACAAATAATATTTGTATTTATATATTATATATAATTTTATGGAAATATTACTAGGAATAGGTTAACCTTTAGAACCCTAGGATGCCTTTCAACATCGAAAAACTTTGAAAATTAAAGTTTTCTATAAGTAGGTAGGTAGTGTATACTTGAAACATACTATATAGTATATACTAGGATCCTGAAAAACATCATGTAAAGCACTCCAGAAAAAAGATGCAAATACATTTAAATCAGAACACCAGAAATGAACATTCTAGTATGTTGGATAGGTTATTAATTTATATGAGTGTGGGTTTGATTAAAATTTGATAAAATGATTTATTTTAAAAACAATATAAATATAAAAATTGTTTTAAAACAATAAATAAACTTTTTCAATGAAATTTTAATTCAATTTAGTAAAAATCTAAAAGTATCTATTTTTTCTGAGTCGAAAAGCATGGATATTTAATACAAGGTTCCTCATAAGTTCTTATTACAGATATTTAAAAATATTAAAGATTCAATAATATGATTTTTTTTATAAGCATTTAAAATTTTCACAAAATCCATTAAATTTCCTAATCAATCAAGAAAATAAAATTGACGCTTGGGCTAAACATTGGTAAAAAATATTGAAAAAACAACAAATTTGATTTAAAATAATCCCTTCAACTTAATAAAAACAACATACCAATCACGGTCAGAACTGGGATAAAATCACTTCTAAACCTTCAAACATTAGGTCTATTCAGGGCATTGAATCCATTTCACTGTGGCTACTAACGCACACTCTATGGTAACGCCTAAAAGTTATGTAGTTACTGAATTTGCTAAAATAATGACATAATATACAAATGTTTCGACCAAAATTTAAATATGCTATATGCATAGCAATCCACTCATTTCTCATATGAGCGTAAGAACGTAAATGGTGAAGAGATCTATTAACATAATTCAGGGAGTGTTCACAATGGGTGATTTTCATATCATGCAATTCATTTCATTTTATTATTTAATAATTAACCTGCGGCAACTTAGGCCATTGGGTGATTTATAACTGTGGGGAGGAGGGTACTGTAGGTTTTTGTAAACACGTGTGTTTTAGTTTGGCAGAATTTTTCAAGTGAGCACCCATAGGTATCTGTTATGAACAGGTGGGGGATGGTGGCCTCTTTCTCAAGACACAGTGACTGCGCAAAGAGAAGTGCCGCCCGAGACCGAGGTTCCAATCGGCGACGATGGGTGGTGTAACCGATGCATTAGTTCCCTCGGCCACTCCCCCCCCCCCTAATCATGTCATTTTGGTTATAACTAACTTTCATATTTGCTTATTGTAATATTTTTGTACAGATTGTAAACTGTCTTTTAAATAAGAAAAAAAAAATAAGATTTAAATTAGAACAACAACCAGTACTTAATTATTCCAACATCAAAGTAATAAAATAAAATAAACTAACCTCATTTCTATTAACCCTAAATAACCATCCAATATGATGAAGTTGACCAAGCACAGGCATTATGTTTGCTAAAATTTTGTTTGCATCATGCAATGCTTTTAAAGATAAAACATTTAAAGCACCATGAAGAGTATTAAACCAACAAGTAGCTTCACTTGCTTCCTGAGTTCTTAATATACAGAAATGCACACCATCTGGTGAATGTAGTTCAATAGTTTTATTTTCTGAAATGTATATAAAAATTATAATTTTTTATTGACAAATAAACATAATTATACTAAAATAATTACCAGGATCAGGATGTTTATAGTTTCTTGTTAAACAACAAAGTTGCAATGGTAAATAACGAGCATCAGGCTTTTGTGGAGAGCGATGAATTGGTGAGTTTGTTGATAAAAATCCTCGCTGTAGTTCCCATCCAACTTCTGATATGATAGTGGCTTTTCTAAAATATGGGGTTACTTCTCTCAAATATTTAACTAAAATAAAAATAAATAGTTTTAAAATTGATGCCAATTTTTTTTTTTAATATTTCAAATAAAAAACAAGTTAACAAATTGTCATTTGTTATTGTTTATAGTTCTTGCATAAAAAAGTAAGCACCTACTCTCAAATTGCAAAAATTATTTTAGGTAGTTAGTAAAATATAATTTATACATGCAACAATATATTATTAGTATACTATCATGAAATTATAACTAACCTTCTAGTTCAACAATTTTTCCAGCTTGTTTAAGTGCTTTAACTGCTTCATCATGAGTAGCTTCTCTTAAATCTTGTTTATTAACAGATAGAATAGCATCACCTACATAAAGCTGCTCAGTTTGATCAGCAGCCATTCCTTTAAATATTTTAGATATAAGGATCGGCATTTTATTTTCACGCCCACCTTTAATGGAAATTCCCAAGCCATTGCTATCTGTCTTTACTACACGTATGAGACGTTTCTGATTAGCTACAGAGTCTGGTACATCGACACAATCAATATGACTTCCCGAAGAATCTGTAATATAAATAGGTAAGTACATCTTACACAACAAAAATCCTAAATACCTACTAAATAAAATTTGAATTTTACCTAAGGTATTGTTATTTAAAGATCCATTAACAGGTGTACAGTGTTCATAGGTTTCATCCAAACTAATGCATATAAAATCATCTTCCAACGTCACATATACTTTGTACCACTGACCACGTACATACGTTTCCAGAGCGCTGGAACGGCCATAACCAATTGTACTCATGCTTACTAATCTGATTTTTTGATCGAAAGATATTCTGTCCTCATATTAAAAACAAATATTCGCGCGGACCAATAATTAAAAAAGATAACATTTAACGATTACGTTTAATTTTATTTGAACGGCTGAATAATAAGATATTAATATAGTTATTTAGACATAATGGTTATTCTCTTTATGAGCAAAAGTCGGGTTGTTAATGTGTAATTAAAACAATATTTCACGCATTGTACCTATTTTGAAACTGTTGAAAACTTTCACAACAATAATTAGCCTAAATAAATTATGTATAAGGTGGGTTACATTCAGTAATCAGTAGCACAAACCCACGTTAACCGCTATCTACACGTCAACTAAAGTAATTTGTTTTGAAAATCGAAAATAATATGACGTTATCCTTATCGTTAACATCGTTATTCGTTATATTCTAAGACCGTGGTTAGGAGTTAGGACAGAACACCAGCGCTGGTAGCGCGGCTAGTACTAGCGCCAAATTACAGAATGGGTGAAACCCCGGGCCACGAATTAAGATAGTAAATAGTTAAAAAACTTATTATCGGGGCTATGAATTTGTACTGTACATAATTTGAATTATGTAGCTACGAATCCATTTATGAAACTTTAGATTCATTTTAGTTCATTTCCCGCCTTATCTATATCGCTATATCTTCCGGTATTTTTAATCAAATTCCGTCAACTGAAAAACATTTTTTTGTTTTTTGTCTTTTTTTTTGTCAAATGCAATAGTGAAGACTAAAGATGAATAAGGTACCCTCAAATAAATATATATTTTAAGTTTGTTTTATTATTTCAATAAAATAAATACATAAAAAAAATGTTCTAAAAATGTTTCAAATGAATAGCATTAAACAAAATTCAAATTCAATCAATATTTTTATTAAAAAGACACATTTTTATGCATGTAAAATGTAATATACTATTGTACTAATGTATAATATCCTATATTATCAATATAAATATAAAGGTTAAATTAAAAACCATTTTACGTGAATTTTATACTATAATTTTTGGCATTTTATATTAAATTTTTTGCATTTTAGGTGCATAGGTATTTTATTTTATTTTTTTAACATTTTTAATGCATTTCTTAAGGTTTTTTAGTGCATTAAAGTCACAGCCCCGGACTTCATCGGACTCAGGCTATATAGATATAGATAATAATAATCTTAGTCCGTGGGTGAAACCTACTAACTAGCCGTGGTGAAACCTATTCTGTTGCCAAATACCCAAATACTTATAGATATTTCTTTTTATAGATAATATTATGACTTAATATAGAGGATTTGTTAGCACCCACTATGTACTATGTAGACTGTGGAAAATATATCTGAAGATGGTTCTATAGGTGCTGGCACAAATTTGCATAGGTCACCGGTGTTTATAGGGGGGGAGGCCCCCTAGACCAGAGCCCGAGGTTAAATTGCAGGTTCACTTAAAGCATTTTATGTATATCTACAATATTTACATTGTTGACAGTTTTTCACCATGATTAATTTAGCGGGTTGATTAAAATTGTTTTTGAGGAATCAACAAGGAAATGATTGTCAGGACTTGCTTTGATTACTTTGATGTTAAATTCACAATAAGTTAACATTAAAATATATATACATATAAAATCGTCAATATTTAAAAAAAAGAATTAAAAAAGGTGGGTAAGTGGATGTCGCTCTGCTGTACAGTAGGTTACAAGTGGGTCACTGTATAATGGATGCTTTTAAATTTGAATTCAATGATACAATATCATTGTATAAGAAAAACGATTCTGAGCGAAGACGGTATGTTAGTCTAGGTTTAAGACAAATTATATACAGATCTATGGTATTAAAAAAAAAATTGACCTAAAATAAATTCCAAATTAATCATATCACAATATCCATTAGGTACTTATAACACGTTATACATCAATAACAAACCCTGATACTATCATAGATATATAATATAGTGTACTTTAGAAGTTTCAAGTAGGTACAAGTAGGTATTTTTTGGAAAATCAATTTTGCGTAAAAATTCCCGTTTTTCCTTAATTTTTATGTTGTTTTTCCCGGCGCTTGTGAAAACTGCTGGGAAATTTAAATTTTGACCTCCCCAATGCACCAACGATATTCACTTTCCAATCGAACGAGATACTGAAGTCGAAAATCGAAGCATTATTTCGACTACTTATCGTGTACACAGATACAAAAAAAATAAAAAAAATAAAAAAACACACATCATTGTAAAATCAATACATTCATCGTTTCACTCAGAATCTAAAATTAATTTTACATAATAATTATAAAATTAAATAGCACAATTTTTATTTGTATTGTACATGTCATAATTATTCTAAAATATGTATAAAAAATGGATATGTTAGTCATGCTATGCTTGACTAGTGATAAACTGCCAAAATTGGCCCACAGTGAAAATAATTTCAAATTTGTATATACGCCACTGATAGTCACTATTCACTCTATAGTAGGTATAGATATTACCACAGGGCACAAGCCTATAAACTAGATAGGTAATTAGTTTGAATTGCGATTAGGACATTTTCCCCGCGATTTATTTTTGATGCAGACATTTCCTCCCGCCCTTTTTTTAAAGTTTACTATTTAATAATATATTATTATATAATATGAAATTATTTTTAAATGTTGATAAATGTTGTCAAAATTCGATCTTTAAATGCTTATAAAAAACAATTGTGCTTATGTATTTTTAAAATTATTCAATTGCTATTGTAACAATATATCTGCAGGAGCCTTGTATTAAATTTTTATACTTTTTGGACCAACAGATAGAACGTTATTGATATTTATAGAAAAAAAAACTAAAAAATTGAAAACTGAAAATGTCCGTAAACAGCTCAAAAAAAGTCAAAATATTTTCAAAATTATACAGTGTATAGAAAATGCTAATATGAACATTCAGTGAAATTTTCATGTATCTACAGTTATTCGTTTTGGAATTACAACAAAATAAGGTAATCGCTACATGAGAAATCGAGTGAATATCCAATGTTGTATAAATTTGAATTTCAAACGCTCATAAAAATTTAATTTGACTTTCTTATAGACATTTTTGTTTTGATAAAGGTAGATAATCTTATAAGGAATCTTGTATTATATTTTCAAATCTTAGATTTAAAAAGAAAAATTTTTACGAATTCTTAACTCAAAATAATTTGCTAATTTTCGTGATTTTTCCATATTTTGTCAATTTTTGAACTTTAAATGCTTATAATAGAGTATAGACCTTACTACCCGGAAATCCAACTAGACGACTCAAGCGGCACTGGTGCCGCGACTTAAAAATTTTATAAATTGCTTAAATTAAATGTCATTGTAATAAATTGTAAATGTTTTTGTAAAGCCACTAGGTGTCTCTAATGAGAGATTTCCTACCATGTCATCATTAGTTCATAGTTTTTCATTCTTTTCACCATAATTATTACTTATTGTACACCCCTGTATAGATTGTAATATTTAAAAATAAAGTCATATTTAAAAAAAAAAAAAAAAAAATGCTTATAAAAAAAAATTGTGACTAAGGATTTTTAATATTTTTCATCTATTTTATTGATATTTTTAGAAAAAAAACTAAAGACAAATGGAAAATCCTAAATAGTTCAAAATAAATCAAAATATTTTGAAAATGTTATCGTGTATATAAAATGCAAATATAAACAACCAGTGAAAATTTCATGTATATACGTTCATATCTTTTAGAGTTACACCAAAAACCAAAATCGATTTTTTGGAAAACCGATTTTGCCTAAAAATTCCCGTTTTTCCTTAATTTTTATGTTGTTTTTCCCGGCGCTTGTGAAAACTACTAGGAAATTACTTTTGATCCCCTCAAAGTACCAACTAGATTCACTTTCCTCTCAGAAATGCTACTGTTGAAGAAAATCCAAGCAGTTTTACCCTAGCAGTACATACCTTGCAAGGTTAATTAAATACCCAGTGGCGTAGACATTATTCCTGAAAGGGGGGACCAAAAAAAAGACAGCTCAATGGGAGGGGGAATTTGGAAAATCCCCCACCCTCTCAAAACTTTTTATTAAGGTAATAAAAACCCAAGGGGGATCTGACCCCCACGTCACCCCAATGTCAACGCCACTGTACATACCGCTCCAATCGCTTACGAATTTCAACCTTTGCGTTTGTACTGCAAAACGTTTCCCTCAATTTTCTCTATATAAGCACGCATACGGTCTATAACTTATATCATATACACTTAGATACAATGGATAGAGCTACCTATTTATGCGACGAGTCACGCATTCGCAAAAGAAATCAGTCCCCTTTCGACTCGTCTTCATGATATATTGTCTTCAACACGTAGTACACTAGTAGGAGTTTATAAAGCAGTAGCTCAGTGCTCTATCCATAGAGTATATGACCTAAGATCAGCTATAACCAAGGCTTATAGATAATAATATAATATCTATAAACCTTGAGCTATAACAAGGTGGTTTCATGATAATACGTCCACAATCACGGTCCACAGCTTGTTTTATTCATATCCATCAAACGCAAATGCAATATTCAAGATATTAGATAATATATACCTATTTTATGCCTTATGTTTAAGAATTAAAATCAACTAATAACTATAAATATATTATAAATATATTATTTTAAGAATTCACCACCCCCAGTTTATTTACAAACAACCTCAAGTAAAATAGAAACAAATACCTAATTAACATTAGTGTTATTTAGCGTTAAATAGAAATATGGAATAATTACGATTCAAAATTAGATTTTTAGTAGGTAGGTAACAAATAGTCAAAACGAAGAAAGAATCGACTTTCATTTTTGAACATAATATAAGTCATTACCTACTCATTTAAGTATTTAACCAACATTTTGAATCAGTGATTCAAAATCACTGTGGTCTTTGGGTAGTAAATAGTAATAACTAGCAAAACTGTCACAAGTAACTGGTAGATAATAAGCAATAATAGCACCGATTAATAAAAAATAAATTTTATT